GCGAGGTGAGTGACGGGGCTGCTCCTCTGCGTAACCTCACCTGGGTGCTATAAACCCCTTGTAGTGCCCCAGGGGCAGTGCCCTCCTCATGCACCAAGCTCTGAACTCCTCCTGGCTGCGGGGCACTCCCACTGTTGTGGGTCCAGGTGGTGCTGAGAGGCCTGGGTTGGGCTGCAGTGTGGTGATATCTGTCACTTCACATACACTGACCCCCTGCTCTTTCCTTTTCTCTTGCAGCCAGCAAGGACTTGGCCCAAACTTCCTATTTCATGGCTACCAACAGGTTATTGCTTTACAATCGCTTCATATTTGGCAGAGGGTCTTATCTGGAGGAGAAGTGGCACCAGTGACCCCAGGCATGGGGCGGCCTCTGAGCCCTTCCTCCTGCGCAGAACCAGCTGCAGCATCAGGATGGGATGCTCAGAACCTGCTTTCTGGGGAGTGAGATGGTGGTGAAGGCTCAAACCACCCCCAAAGCACAAAGGGAGGCTGGAGATGCATGGATGGGGTCTCACTGCAGAGTTAGCCCTGAAGTGGGGCTGTGAAGGTTGGCACCAGGGACTGGCTGTACCCCAGAAGGCTGATGTAGGGGGTAAAGGGGCAGTTGGAGGCAGGCGTGAGGCCTCACAAGGGAAAAGTCTTGTTCTTGAGCCTCGGAAGCAACAGAAAGCCTTTGGGTTTCCCATCAGGAATGCTCTGTGTGGGGCTGGCCCAAGATCCTCACTGCAGGGCTGATTCCAGCACTTGCAGCCTTGCTTTCCCTGAATGAGCGGCTTCAGGAGCTGACGCTGGGAGTAGGGCAAGGTGTGGACATGGAAAAGAGCTCCCAGGAGTGGTGGGATGGGAGAGAAAAGCTGGGATAGGCCATGGCAGAGGCTGGTTTGCAGCCCGTGGCCTGGGGTGAGCGGTTGTTGAAGGTGGTCTGTAACCCGTGGGCATCGTGTGGGTTTCCCAAAGGAAGGTGCTGTTGGTAACGTGTCTGTAGGGAAAGGCAGCCCTGAGATGGGTTTTATCCCTGCAGCAGCAATGCAATCACGGGTTAAGATTGGAATGGGAATAAATCCAGGTGGAAAGGAGGAAACGTGGCCTCAGTGTGGCCTTAAAGTGATGCCAGGAGAGCCCACAGTGAGGAATTGGATTGATGAGGCAGATAGAGGTGTTTTAAATTGGATTTCCTTCTGGCATCATCCCAGGGCAGGGTTCAGGCTCTCTGAGCACCCAGCCCCACTTCTTACCTTGGAAGAGTGGCCAGAGGCTCCCAATTCCCTGCCTTTGGCTTCTTGGTCTGGAGCAAAAGCGTGAGCTGCAGCTCCCTGTCCCCCTGCATTGCCCTGAGCAGTGTGGCCTGACCCCAGCGTGGTGAGGAGATGCAGGTCCTGCCATCAGGAGGCTGCCATTCCCATGGGGTGCTCCATGTGCTCCTGATGGGAGCCTGTGCTCCTGCAGGTAGAGAGCAGGATGCGTGCTGAGGGCATCGCTGCTCCCCTCTCCCACCTCCCAGTGCTGGTGTCTGAGCTGTCCCACTGGAGCCACCCACACCTTCAGTGCTCTTCCTCAGCTTGGGAAGAGCCAGCCCAGGAGCTGCGCTTGGAATTGCCTGGAGCAGAGCCCCCAGCAGAGCTTGGGGCTGGCAGAGCCTTGACCAGAGCTGCCTGCACCCAAACGAGCCCCAGCAGGAGCAGGGCTGGAGACTGCAGGGTTGGAGTGGGGGCAGGACCCCGCGGGGGTGTCCCCCCTGTGTCCCCAGCCCCTGCAGTGGTGTCAGTGGGCGCTGGTGAGTGCTGAGGGTCAGGCTTGGGAGTTCATGGCTTTCTGTTTCTCTCTCCCTGCTGGTGCCGTCAGCCTGCATCTGACCACCTTCAGCCTGCAGTACACCCCTCCCGTTGTGGCCTGCGTCTGTATCCACCTGGCTTGTAAGTGGTCCAACTGGGAGATCCCAGTCTCCACGGACGGGAAGCACTGGTGGGAATACGTTGATGGCACTGTAACTCTGGAGCTCTTAGATGGTAAGTTTGGGAGCGAGGTTTTCCCCCCCAAAAAAAAACAAAGGCTCTTCCGTTGTGTTGGCATCTCTGGTCCTGGGTCTGCCTTCAGCCCCAGCCCATGGGCACTGCAGGGACTCCAGGGCTTCAGGTCTTGCCAAGGTTTCAGTGCAGCAGCAGCTTTTGTGGTCCACCAGAGATGGCAAAAGGCACCAAGGGAGATGAGTTTAATGTGGTCAGTGATGGTGGCTCGCAGTGTTCCCCTCCTGCAGTAGCTCCATGGCAGCAGGAGCTCCATCCAGCAGCGAGTAGGGGGTGCCCTGATGAGCGCTGCTCTGGCTGGGTCTGACCAAGGGGCCTGGCTTTGTGTCTCCTCTGCAGAGCTGACCCATGAGTTCCTGCAGATCCTGGAGAAGACTCCGAGCCGGCTCAAGCGCATCCGCAACTGGAGGGTAAGGAGCTGCTCTGGGGTCCTGTGTGTGGCACCTCCGTGCAGTACTGGGGGGCAGTGGGGGCACTGCCTCTGCAGGATGTTGCTTCAGTACCAAACTGAGCTCTGGTGTGAAGAAGATGATGAGGTTTCAACCTCACCACCATGTCCTGGGGCTTTTCCCCCATGGGGAGGGATGGGGATAAAGCGGATCTAAGTGGGAGCTTGCCCCCCACAGCCCTGGGCCAGCCCCAGTGACCCTGTGCTCTCTGCCTTGCCTCCAGGCCTCCCAAGCAGCCAGGAAGTCCAAGGCTGACGAGCATGGGGACGACGAGAGCCTGTCGGAGCAGACCATCCTCAGCATGATCTCCCGGAACAACAGCTCAGACATGAACATCGCGGGGCTGATGAGCATGTCCACATCCTCCAGCGCCGCGCTGCCGCCCGCCCCCGACTCCCCCAGCGAGCAGAGCAGCGATGTGGCCCAGCAGCAGGAGCACTGGTACCCCCCGGCCAAGCTGGAGCCAGCGCAGAGCCACCGGACTAGCGAGAGCTGCGGTGCTGAGCACCCTGGGCAGCAGCAGGATGGGGCCCCTTATCCGAAGCAGGGCAGCAAGAACCCGCCAGCAGCCAAGGTGTCACTCAAGGAGTACAGGGCCAAGCATGCCGAGGAGCTGGCGGCGCAGAAGAGGCAACTGGAGAACATGGAGGCCAATGTGAGGTCCCAGTACGCCTACGCTGCTCAGAACCTGCTGGTGCAGCAGCAGCGAGAGGTGCAGGATAGGGACCCATCACCCATCATTCTGAAGATCCCCATTGGCGGCCCCGAGAACCCGGACAAGGGTGACAAGGGCTCGGCGCTGAAGCTGAGGCTGCCGGTGACTGGCGGCGCCGGGGAGCGGCTGCTGCCCTCCAAGCAGGAGGAGATCAAGATGCGCATCAAGGTGCCCCCGGGCGGGGACAGACAGGGCTCCTCAGACGAGGGCAGCACCAAGGCCCGGGAGCACAAGGAGAAGCACAAGGGGCACTCCTCCAACCACCACCACCACCACCACAACCACCACTCGCACAAACACTTCCCCCCCCAGCTCGGCGCTGGGCCCAGTGGCACCAGCACCAAGCGCCCGGGGGACTCTAAGCATGGCGGCCAGCCTGGGGCTGTGCCCCACAAGAGCTACGGGCCCCTCTCCTCCTCCTCTTCCCGCAAGAGGCCTCTGTCTGAGGAGGCGGCCGCTGCAGCCCACGAGCACCAGCCCAAAGGCAGCAAAGCCTCCAAAGGCCCTGGGGCACCTTTCCCGTACCCCCATCTCCCCACGGACGGGGGGGGCCTCCCCTTCGCAGCTGCCAGCAAAGCACGGGGGCCCCACAGCAAACTGGACAAGGGGCCTTCGGGGGCCAACGGGCACAGCTCCAGCCAGGCCAGTGACTACCAGGACACAGTGAACATGCTGCACTCGCTGCTGAGCGCACAGGGCATGCAGCCCACCCCCCCGCCCGCCTTCGACTTCCACTCCTATGGGGAGCTCCTGAACCCCCCCCGGGCTTCCAGCAGTGCCAGAGGAGCCCCAAGCACGGACAAACCCCGGCCCCCACCGCTGCCATCAGAACCGCCACCCCCTCTGCCCCCTCTCCCTAAGTAACCTCCCCTTTTTACTACTGAATCGGCCCTGCAGCCCTGGGCTGCCCTCAAAGGGCTGTTTGGGCTCCACTGCCTCACCAGAGAACTATTTTATTATAATATAACTTTTATTATTGCTATTTAGAGCGGGCGTTGGTGAAGCTGTGAAAGGATCAAACCCCCTTGCTCTGGTCCTTGCTCCTTCCCTTCCCCCCCCTCCATTGACCTGCAGTTAATGGGGGGCTCGGTCCCTGCCCCCCCCCTTGTGGGGAACACACATTTTGGGGGGGATCTGGGGGGTATTTAAAAGATGTCACAGAAAATTTAAGACGTTTTACAAATAATTTAAGCAGTAACTTATACCTTAGTGCTTTGTTGCCTTTAATCGGGGGGGTGGGGTGGGGGGGTGGTTATTGGGAGTGATGAGTGGAGGCGGAGATGAAGGGGAAGGCAGGGACTGGCAGTGATGGAGCTGCTCTGCTTTTGGGAGCCCATCTCCATCCCTCCGCCCCTGCTGCAGGTCACCCTTCCAGCCCCACCGCCAAGGGGAACGGGGCCTTGTGGGGGTGTTCTGGGGTGGTTGGTGTTGAACGTTGTTGGGGTGAGGCTGCTCTTTGGGGCAGAGCCCAGAGGAGCTGCCGGGGCCTGGCTCAGGCACCGGCTAGGGTCGTACCCCGAGGCAGAGGAGCCGCCTGCTGCGTGCTGGCTGTGCAGGGCCCGATCCGGGGGGAGCAGCGTTCCCCCCTCCTGCCTGTGCACTCGGGAAGCTCTTGTTCCACACCGAGCCCGGTTCTGTGGCCGCGGAGCCCCGGTTACCGGTCACCCCTCCGCTGCCCGGGGCCCGCCGCGCCGCTCTCACGTGACTCTCGGGGCGCGGCTAATCCCCGCGGAGTGACAGCTGCTCCCGCCAACCAGGGCCGGCCCCGGCCCCTCCGCCCCCTCCGCCCCCTCCGCTGACTGGCTGGCGGGTCCGCCAATGAGGTGTCGGGGCGGGCCGTGCGCTGAAGCACTAGGGAGGCCGGACGGCAGAGAGGTAAGATGGCGGCGGCGGCGCCCGTGTCCGGCGCGGCCCCTCCGCGCTTCACCGCGGCCCCTTCGCGCTGCTCCAGTCGTTGCACCCGTACCGGCTGCGGGAACCGCCCCTTCCCCCGCCGCTCTCCGCTCCCCTGGCGCTGCCCGGGCCGCTCCCCGGGGCTCCCCTCACGCCCGCCGCCCGCGGACAAAATGGCGGCGCCGGGAGCAGGCGGGCGGCAGGGACTGCGCATGAGCGGCGCCGGGGCGGGGGGTGGGCGGTGGAGCACGTGTGCCGCGGGAGGCACCGGGAACGGGAGGTGGTCAGAGGAGATGGCGGGGGGGGTACCGGGAGATGGACCAGGGCCAGGGGGGTCCCCGGGAGTCGGAGTGAGCACGGGCATGTACCGGGTATCCCGGGATGCACTGGGATACACCGAGAAAAGGGGGATGGAGCGGGATGGGCCGGGACCAGGGGCGGGCATCGGGGTGTGTTGGGATGTACCGGGAGCAGGAGTGAGCACCGGGATGTAGCGAGCTCCTGTATCCCCCCTCAGCTGCGGTCCCTCTTTAGCTCGGAAGCATGAACCGGATCCGCATCCACGTGTTGCCATCGAGCCGCGGGCGCCTCCCGCCGGTGCCGCGGGCGCAGGAGCCGCTGGCCTGTGCGTTCACCCCGCGGGCCTGCTCCCAGCCCCGCCTGGACGGGCAGGAGTTCTGCATCAAGCACATTCTGGAGGACAGGACCGCCCCCTTCAAGCAGTGCAGTTACGTGTCCGCCAAGAACGGGCGGCGCTGCCCCAACGCGGCGCCCAAGACCGAGAAGAAGGATGGGTGAGTGCCCCCTGAGAGCAGGAGGAGCCTCTCCTGGTGCTGCTGCCGCCCTGCAGCCCAGGGACTCGCTCCTTAGGGGGTGTTGGAAGCTAGAAAAGGGCGCTGGGTGCTGTGATTGTCTTTGCTCGCTGGTCCGTCATCAGGTGGCCACAGTGATGCAGGACCTGGTCAGAGCTGCAGTGCTGCTGAGGCTCCTGGAGCCCGTGCCCGTGGCTCATGCTCAGCACAGACCCTCTGGTGGGGTAGAGCCGGTGGCCAGGGTGTGCTAGTGCTGCTCTGGTGCATAGAAAACAGGGAGGGAAGGACCTTGGTGAAGCAGAGCCCAGCTCCCCTCGTGGAATGTGGCTGCTGGGTGTCCCCATTCCCTCTGGGACCAAGGAGCTGCTGTGGGCCAGCTTGGGAAGCGGGGTGGGAATGGTTGGGAGCAGAACCCACTCCAATGGCTTTAAGGACCGAGCTCTGTTCCGCCTCAGTGTTGTGTCCCTGCAGGCAGAGGCGCTGCCCGGGCTCCAGGGGCTGAACCTGCTGTGCTCCAGGGCGGTGCTGAGCCCGTGTTTTCCCCCCAGCACCTCGCTGTGTGCGGAGCACGCCCGGAGGAACGCGCTGGCGCTGCAGGCGCAGGGCAGGAAGTCCCAGGCCGGGGCAGGGGGGGAGAACCTCCTGTGGCAGCTCAGCGCCTACGTCCGCGCCGAGGCGGGCACTCAGCCTGCGGAGAGCAGCCGCAGCGAAGCCACTCGTATCCTGGGTAAGGGCCACAGGGCAGGAAATCCCTTCTGGCGTCATGGAATTGGGCTGGGATTAAGGGAGTTTAAAGCTCCTCCAGTGCCAGCCCCTGCTACGGGCAGGGGCAGCTTCCACTAGAGCAGCTTTCTCCAAGCCCCTTCCAATCTGGCCAGGGATGGAGCATCCAACCCATTCCAGTGTCTCATCACCCTCACTTTCCTATATCCAGCCTGAACCCATCACCCCTTGTCCCATCGTTTCAGCCCCTGATGCAGGTCCCTCCCCAGCATCCTTGCAGCCCCCTTCAGCCACTGGAAGCTGCTCTTCTCCAGCCCCAATGTTCTCAGCCTGGCTCCATACAGGAGCTGCTCCAGCCCCTGAGCATCCCTGTGGCCTCTGGACTTGCTCCAGCAGGTCCAGTGCAGAGGCAGAGTCCCTGTGAGGTGTCTGTATGTGCTGTGCTGGTGCGGGGGCACGGGATGAGGGACAATGTCCTGTCCCTGTGCATCCCGCAGATGAGGACAGTTGGAGCGATGGGGAGCAGGACCCGGTCACCGTGGAGCAGACGTGGCGGGGGGACCCGGACAGCGAGGCCGACAGCATCGACAGCGACCAGGAGGATCCCCTCAAGTGGGTTGGGTGCTGCGAGCTCAGGGTGGCCCCAAGGGGTGCTTCTGGGTGATGTTAATGGTGGTGCGGTTACCCTTGGGGCCCCAAGGCTCCCACGTCTTGGTTGTGAGGAGTCTCCATTAATCAGTGGGGTGTTCCTGCTCCTGCCCATGGCTCTGTGTGATCCAGGCGAGCGGAGCAGCCCCATGGGCCCTGCTGGCTGTCTTCCAGGCATGCTGGGGTGTACACAGCCGAGGAGGTGGCTCTCATCATGAGGGAGAAGCTCATCCGGCTCCAGTCGCTCTACATCGACCAATTCAAGCGCCTCCAGCACCTCCTCAAGGAGAAGAAGCGGCGGTTCCTGCACAGCCGCAAGGGCGAGCACGAGGCCATTGGCAAGTGCTGGAGCTCTCTGCCTCCCCCCAGAGCTTGCCTCTTCCAGACGGGGGGGGTTTGCCTTGGGAAGGGCTGAAACAACCACAGGAGGTGGCTGGGGCTGGGCTCATGCATGCAGATGCTATCGTGGCGTTGGGAAGGTTCCTTTGCTCTTCAGAGTTGTCAGGAAATGGGACTACAAAGGGAATCGTGAGACAAAAGTGCTTGCTTTGGCTGGGATTTCCTGCTTTGGGGGTTCTAAATGCATGGATTCAGCCGTCAAGCCCTGTGGGGGGCAGCTAAGGTTGGTTCCACCACTTGTGCTCTCCTCCCATAGCCCTGCTCAGCACAGATGCAGCTCCAGCATGGCCTTAGAATAGCTCTTGCTGGAAAAGGCCCTGGAGCATAAAAATAACTGCAGTTTGGTACCTACCAATTTGGTAGAGCTCTTTATAGGCACCCAGGGATGGAAAAGCAGCTCTCGCCCTGTAATTACAGCCGGGAGAGCTCAGGGAAGCTTCCAGACCAGGCACCAGGAGCTGGACTTGGAGAAACCTTTCTGCTGCGGGAATCAGAAGGGATCTTCTTGGGAAGGTGTCCCTGCCGTGGACTGGGTGATTTAAGGCCCTTTCCAACCCGGTTCCATGAGTCAAAGCTGTTTGGGATGGGATCTGCTTTGCCACCACCAAATATGCTCCCAGCTCACGCATCCAACCTGGCTGCATCTGATGCTCTCTGGAGCTCTGAGTACCAGGGAATGGGATGGAAGCCAGGGGGAAGGGGATGTCCTGACCTCCCCCCTCCCTCCCCGCAGGCAGCAGCCTCCTGACGGGTGCCGAGGGGCTCCTGGCCAAGGAGCGGGAGAGCCTCAAGCGCCTCAAGTGCCTGCGGCGCTACCGGCAGCGCTACGGGGTGGAGGCGCTGCTGCACCGGCAGCTCCGCGAGCGCCGCGCGCTGGCCTCGGACAGCGCGGCCCAGCAGGTGAGCGCAGAGCCGGGTGAAAGCAGCGCCCAGGCGTTGGCAGCAGGGTTCAGGTGTGGGGCTGGGGACGGTGCCCCCAGGTGGGGTCCAGAGAGCCTGGAGTTCCTCAGGGATACATGGCTGGGAAACGCTCCATGGGGGGGGCGCCGTTGGTTTGGTGGGGACCCAAAGGCAGGCCCTTTGGGTACACATGGGACTGAATGCAGCCACTTCAGAGCTGTCTCACATTTCCAAGCATTCCAGGACCTGGCTTGAGTGGAGCCTGGAGAGTTCTCCCTCCTGCAGTAGAGTCCTGCCTTATTTCAGCTCTGTTTAATGGAAGAAGGGCAGGATGAGGAGTTAGAGGTGCTGAACTCTTGCTCTTGGTGTGCTCTGAACCCTGCTCTTGCCTCACAGGCCCACACCACCCGCTCCAGCCAGCGCTGCTTGGCCTTCGTGGATGACATCCGCTGCTCCAACCAGTCCCTGCCCATGACCAGGCACTGCCTGACCCGTATCCTTTGATCCCGTGTTCCTGTTTGCTGGCATTGTGTGTCCCTTCCTCCTCCTCCCGCTCTTTGGCCCTCAATCAAGGCCAGTGGTTTGCTGTAGCTGCTGGTTTCAAACAGGAGCCCAGAGGAAGCAGCTCCCGGTCTGTTGGTGCTCCCATCCCTGTGGATCAACCAATTCGTGTGGGAGCAACAGGAGCCTCTTCCCCAGAGCATCCCAACGGGGTCTCCAGTTCCCTGTCCAAGTAGGATCGTGTGGATGTGCCCTGTGCTAGGTTTGGGTCATGTTGGAGCTGCATTCACTGCTTAGCTTTGGGTGTTCTTCACCCTGGCTCCCAGGGAGCTGCTGTGGTTCCTCTCCAGTGCCCATGGAGCTCACAGCAAAGGCAGGCTGGATCCCTCTGGAGCAGCCGGAGCTCCAGAGTGGGAAAGGTGCGGCTGGGATTCCTTGGGCTCAGTGTCTGTTGACACCAGCACCATTTTGCTTTTCCCATGCAGGAAAGGGATGAGCCCAGTGCTGGGATGCAGGTGGAGCTTCTCCCATTGGCTTATGGCTGCCTCTAAAGGCAGTGCTTGAGCTGGGTTATCCAGACAGATCCAGATGTGCCCTCTCAGAGGCACATCCCCCTCCACATCTGCCCTAGGGACAGCTTAGGAAAGTGGGTTAAACCTGGTGCCTTTCCCTGCTGTATGTGGCTCTGGAAGCTAAACGGGGGGGGGTTATGGATGTGTCTTATCTGGAAGCCTTGATTCCCACCCAAAACCTGCTTCTCATTGTCATCCACATGGAGAGGGAGCCTCACTGTGGGGACAGGGGATGGGCTTGGGCTGCAGCTCCTTGCTCCTGGTGGATCTGGTTGTGATTAAAGGCAGGAAATCCCATTTACACCTCGGGCAGGAACAGGTTTTCCATGGGGAAGGCAAATACATTGGGAAGATGGGAACACCAGAACTGAGCTCCCGCCTGTGGCTGCAGCATTGTGTGTGTGTGTGCGCACACCGGGAGGGAGCTATGCCTTTGGGATAGCTCCATGCGAGGGGCTGGGGGGGTTCCTGCCCTGGGATGGATGGGTGGGGGGGGTTATCCCTGTTTGGGGGTGCTTTCCCTTGACCCCATCTCAGACATCTGCCAGGACCCGAGCCAGGCCCTGTTCCGGCCCTGCCGGGGCTCCGAGGACGTTCCCTGCCCCAGGGCCGTGCCCCTGAGCCTGGGTGCGGAGCCCAGCTGCCCCCTGCACCTCCGCCTGCCCCCTCCCATGTACGTGCCTGAGCAGGGCCCCGGGGGGGCTGAGGATCTGGGGGCTGCCCCAACGGAGCTGTACCTGAGCGCAGCCGAGCTGCAGCCCTCCGAGAGCCTCCCGCTGGAGTTCAGTGATGTGAGTGGGGGCCCAGCAGCAACCACCCCCCTGTGGGGCTCTATGGGGTCAATCTCCCCCCCCCCCGCACAGATCCAAGGGGATTAGGTTGATTCTTGTTGCCTTAGGGCACAGGAGTCGCTGGGGGCGGGAGGGGGTGCAGGAGGCTCAGAGCCCCCCGACCCGCTGTGCTCTCATTTAAATCCTTATCTGGGGCTTTCTAAAGAGGATTTTCCCCCTCTTTTCCCATCGGGAATACACGAGGGGTTTAATCCTGGATTATTCTGCCCTGCTCAGCTTAAACCCCTCGGAAATGGGGTTAAAGAGCAAACAGCAGCGGGGCCCTTGGGGCTGCTCCTGGGGGCGGCACCTCCATGGGCACTGAGGCTCCGGGTGCTGTGTCCTCAGGACCTGGACGTGGTGGGCGATGGGCTCCAGTGCCCCCCCTCCCCTTTGCTCTTTGACCCCTCCGTGGCGCTGGATCCGGCCCTGCGAGACGTGGCCGAGGCCGCAATCGACATCTTGGGCCTGGAGGAGTCCGAGGAGCGGGGCAGCGGCTTCCCCCCGGGCCCCGACCTGCAGGTACGGACCCAGAGCCTTGGGCCCCCCCAGCCGCTGTTCATGGCGTTGGAGACGCACCCATGCATGGGCTCTGTGCCCCACGGTGTACTCATGGGGTGCCCTGGCTCCATGGCTGCCCAGTGCCACCCTTATGCCAGCCCTGCTCCCGCCCGAGGCCCTCACTGAAGACCTCCAGTTCGCTGTAGCTGCTGGTTTCAAGCAGGAGCCCAAAGGAACTTGCTCCCGCTCCATTGGCGCTCCCAGCCCATGGAATTGCCAATTCCAGCAGGAGCAACAGCAGCCGGGGGGGGGGGGGGGTTCGCAGCCATGCCCGGTGCTCCTGCACCCACCCCTGCCTCTTGTATCCCAGCAGTGCCCCCTCGCACCGGAGGAAGCCGCTGCCTCCACCGAGCTTCACGGAGCCGCCAATGGGAACGTGGGGTCGGGATCCGGGAGCGCCGGGACCTGAGAGCAGCTCCAGGGCTCATCCGGCATCATCCAGGAGCTGGGGGGGGGGGGTCCATGGGGATCCCCACAATAAAGCGATGGAGCTCGGTGTCCGTGTCCGTGTCCTGCAGCCGGGTGCGATGGGGCCGGGGGGAGGGCACCTCCGGTCCCCGCGATGGGGGAGGCCCCGCGGATGGAGGCGGTGGCGGCACCGGGACCCCCCCTCCGCCGCCGGGCGCGGATTGGCGGCGGCGGGGGCGCAGGGCGGAGCCGGCCCGGTGGAGCCATGACATCACCGCGGCCGCCGCCGCCGGGCCAGCCCCGGTCCCGGCCATGCCGCCCCTCGCCGCCGCCGCCGCCCCGCCGTAGCCCCCGGTGAGTCCGGTAGCGCCGCGGCGGGAGGGGGGGATCCCGGGGAGGCCGCGCCGCAGCGCTGCGGGGAGGGGACCGGAACCGGGGGAAGAGGCACGGGGTGTCCCGGCCCGCCCCCCGCGTGTCCCGGTTGGTGTCCCCCGAACACCCCGGGGGGTTCCCGGTACAAGGCAGCTGAGCCCGGCTCTGCCCGCTCGTCCTCCCTGTGTCCCCAGTGCGTCCCCCACTGTGCTCCTCCATCCCACACTCGTCCCCCCCGTCCCCACTGCATCCCTGTTGTCCCCAGTGTGCTCCTGCTGTCCCCAGGGTCCCCACTGCATCCCTGCTGTTCCCACTGCATCCCAGTTGTCCCCACTGTGCTCCTGCTGTCCCCAGTGTATCCTGGTTGTCCCCAGTGTCCCCAGTGCATCCCAACTGTCCCCACCACATCCTGCTGTCCCTCATATATCCTGGTTGTCCCCAGTGTCCCCACTGCATCCCTGCTGTCCTCAGAGTCCCCACTGCATCCCAATTGTCCCCACCACGTCCTGCTGTCCCCAGTGCATCCCGGCTGTCCCCAGTGTCCCCACTGCATCCTAATTGTCCCCTCTGTATCCCGGCTGTCCCCAGTGTCCCCACTGCATCCCAGTTGTCCCCGGTGTCTCCAGTGCATCCCAGTTGTCCCCAGTGTCTCCAGTGCATCCCAGTTATCCCAGTGTCTCCAGTGCATCTCAGTTGTCCCCAGTGTCCCTGGGATGCCCAATCTGTCCTCAGCACGGCCCTGCTGCCCCAGGGCTGTATCTGCCTCATCCCGCCTGTCCCCGGGGTGTCCTTGCTGTCCCTGGCGCATCCCTCCTGTCCCCGGGCTGTCCCCAGCGCGTTCTGGAGCAACCCAGCGGGGCTGCGGGCACTCGGGGCTGTCCCCCCCATGTCCCCAGCGTGGGGCAGGCCAAAGCCACCCATGGGGCCACAGCCCGGGCTCTGGGTGCCCCCGTGCTGGGACAGGGACCGACCGCAGCGTCCCTCTATGGGGACCCCCGGTTGTGGCTCGGGGGGGGGGGGGGGCTGGCTGCTCTTCCCCTCCAGACGGAGCCTCACTTCCCCCCGTGACGCAGCCGGAGCCGCGGCCGCTTCCTGCGCCGGGGCAGCCGCGGGCACCACCGGGACCCACCGGGGGGGGACACGGGGGCAGCACGAGCGAGGGGACCTGGTGCTGCCGCGCAGGGACCGGCGGCACCCGCGGGGTGAGGCCGAGGTCACCCGGGCCAGGGGGTTGGGGTGACCGGATGGGGCTCGGTGGGGGCGCGGGGAGCATCGCACAGGCCCCCCCGTGCCCGTGCCCCGAGCGGGGCCGGAGGCTCCGGTTGTTTCGCTGCTCTCGGTGCGTTGCTTGGGAAGAGGTGGCGGAGCTGAGGTGAGCTCCGAGCCCGGCCCCGTTCGTTGGGGTGCGGGGTCGGTGCCTGCAGCCCCGGGGACACCCCGAGGGGTGCTCAGGCTCCGGGGGTCCCCGTCCAAAGCGTGCTCCAGGGCGCTCTCTCCATGGGGCGCCCTTTACCCCCGGGGGTACCCGGTGCTTCCTCGGCCTCTGGTCTCCGCTGCCTCGGTCCCCCCCGCGCCGGGTCCTTGGGGCCGGCGCTGGCGGCCCCGGCTCCTCCCCGGCCGCGGCGGGAAGGCGGAGCCGGGGCCGTCGCCTCCCAACAATAGCGCGGCCGGGCCGGGCCGGGATGGAGCCTCCGCTGCCGCCGGGACCGACCCCGGGGCCGCGCTGAACGGGGTCGAGCGGCGCCGCCGGGAGCCGCGGGCGTGAGTGCGCGGGGCCGGTGCTCGGGGCCGGTGCCTGCTCCGGGACGAGCGGCACCGGCGCCGGGGGGAGCCCCGGTGGGAGCGGGGTGTGCGGCACCGGGATAGAGGGGGGCCATCTGCACCCGGGCTCCTGTGCACCGGGTGCTGCGCGTTCCGGTGCCAGCCCCTGGGCGGGGGCTGCACATCCCGGTGCGCCGGGGCTGGTCCCGGTGCGGGCCGCGGGGCTGCTGCACATCCCCGTGTGCGGGGACCGGGGCTGGTCCCAGCGCCCCTGCGCGCCCGGGAGGGGCTCCGGGTACCGGTGGGGTCGGGGCTCAGCCCCGGGGCTCCCCAAGGCCCCGTCCCCCTCCCTCAGCGCCGTTCTCCCGGGCAGGTGACGCCGCGGGGGAGCCCCGAGCGAGGAGGCGGGGAGCCCGGCCCGGTGCTTGTCCCCCCGCAGCCCGCGATGTCGGAGAGCGTGGCCGAGGCGCCGGGAGCCGGGAGCGAGACGGGCACCAGCCATGAGCTGCTGCAGCGGCTGCGGGAGCTGGAGGTGCGGAGGGGCCGGGACCGCCGGGAGCCAGTGCCCAGGCACCGCGAGGCAGAGCAGTGCTTCCCTGCTGCCCGGGACACCCGTCCCACCGGGCAGAGGAGGGTCCCATGGGGGGGTCCCCGTCCATCACCTCCCCTGGGCCTGGCAATGGCGCTGCCGTGGCTCAAGGATGGGGACAAGGACACAGGGAAGGGGGACAGAGGAGGGGACCCCACAGACCTCAAAAGCAGGGTCCCAGGGGCTGGGGGCCACCCCCTGAGTTGTCCCTGCTCTGTCCCCAGGCAGAGAACTCAGCCCTGGCCCAGGCCAATGAGAACCAGCGGGAGACCTACGAGCGCTGCCTGGACGAGGTATCCCGGGGTTGCGCATGGGACACGCGTGAACACGCGTGAACACGCGTGTGCTGGGCACGGGGCTGCCTGGGCCCTCACCACGCTCCCCCCTCTGCTCCCCAGGTCGCCAACCACGTGGTGCAGGCGCTGCTCAACCAGAAGGTGGGTGTCGGGGGGGGTCTGAGGGTGTCGGGGGACACGGGGGGCTCCTGGCTCATCCCTCCCCATCCCGCCCCATCCAGGACCTGCGGGAGGAGTGCATCAAGCTCAAGAAGCGAGTCTTTGAGCTGGAGCGGCAGAACCAGGCACTCAGCGACCTCTTCCAGCAGAAGCTGCAGCTCTCGGCCGGGTCCTTGCCCCAGGTAGGGCCGGGGCTGGGGGGGGGTTGGGGGCACAGGGCAAAGCCTCCCCCCCAAACCTAACCCGGTGCCACCCCCGTCTCCAGCTGCCGCCGCTGCCCCTGGACGCCCCCAGCAGTCCCGAGCCGAGCTGTGCCGAGCAGCCACCACCCCTGCTGCCCCCCGGGTGCTGCCTCTCTCTGCCAGAGGTGGGTACCAGCGGCTCTGACCCCCCCGTCCCCTTGTCCCCCCTCGCAAAGCTCCTGCTATTGCCTCGCCTGCAAGTGTGGTTCCCCCAGCCCGCGGTACCCCCCTTTTGGGGTCCGTGGTGTCCTCTCCTCTGGTGTTCCCATCCTTGAGCTGTGGCATCGCCCTTTCCAGGCCCATCTGCCCCTTGTGTCCCCATCCCTAGCACGGGGGGCTGACGGTGCCCGGCCCCCGCAGGTGATGCCGCCGGTGCCGTCGGGCAGCCCCGGGCTCAGCCCCGCGCCCCTGGACGCCCTCTCCCCCTTCTTCAAGAAGAAAGCGCAGATCCTGGAGGTGCTGCGCAAGCTGGAGGAGTCGGACCCGCTGCTGGCCCCCCCCCCGGCCTCCCCCGGCTCCCCCGACCCCTGCTCAGCTCCGGCCTGGGCCTTGTGCCCGCTGCGGGCGCCGGGGGCTGCCGGGGGGTGGCGGGGGGCCGAAGGCAGCCCCTGCTCCTCCCCGGACGAGCGCCTGGGGCTCAGCGCCTTGGCCGAGCGGCTGCTGCGGGGGGAGCCCGGCTGCTGCCGCCGCAATGGGGAAGCGCTCGGGGGCGGCCCCCGGCAGCGGCGCGGGGGGGAGCTCCCCGCGTCCTTCCTGGGGCTCTGCGGCCCGGGCGAGGAGAGCCCCGAGGGGGGCTTCGCGCCGCTGTCGCCCGGGGGGGCCCCCAACGCGCTGCCCTCGCCCCCCAAGGTGCTGAAGCTGCCGCCCCCCCCCGCGGGGCTGCGCCTCAGCTCGCAGCTCGCTCCGGCCTCCAGGATCCCGTGTCGCAGCGGCAACCCGGAGGCCCCCCCCAGAGCCGCCTCCCCCGATGCCCCCCCCGAGCCCGGCTCCCCCGAGGCCCCCGTCCTCCCCCCCGGCCGGCCCTACGAGGCGGCCGAACAGCCCCCGGGCCCCGCTGCCGGGGGTGAGCGGGCGGCAGCTTCGCCCCCCAGCACCCGCCGGGGCACGGGGGGCTCGGCCCCGACCCGGCGCCCCGGCAAGAAGCCCCCCGAGCCCGGATACCTCCCCTTCAAAGAGCGCCTGGCGGCCCTGGGCAAGCTGCGGGGGGCTGAAGGCCGGGAGCCCCCCGGCCCAGGCCGGCCCGAGCGGGGCCATGGGGCTGAGCTGCGCCCCCCGTCCCGAGGGGGGGGCTTGGGGGGCAGCCTGAAGCACCCTGAGCCAGTGCACGCCGGGGAGCCCCTGGCGCGGTGCTACTCCTCCGGCTCCATGGGGGAGCCCGGCAAGGCGGGGGGCAAGGGGCGCCATCCCGGCGGCAGGACCCCACCGCGCCCCCCCCCGGCGCCCCCCGCCAAAGCCCCCCGCAGCCCCCACGGCAGCCCCACGAAGCTGCCCACCAAGGCGGGCGCCAGCAAAGCCCTGCGGGGCGAGGAGCCAGCGGGAGCCAAAGCGGCGGCGGGGCCGCATAAAGCACCGGCGGGCCCCGAGCCCCCCGGTCCGGGCCCGCTGCCGGGCGCCGACGCGCACTCGGCCATCGAGGAGAAGGTGATGAAGGGCATCGAGGAGAACGTGCTGCGGCTGCAGGGGCAGGAGCGGGCGCCGGCGGCCGAGGCCAAGGGGAAGGCGGCCGGGGGCTTGGCCAGCTGGTTCGGGCTGCGGCGGAGCAAGCTGCCGGCGCTGAGCCGCCGCGGGGACGGCGGCCGCGGGCGGGAGTGGGCCGGGACCCCGGCCCCGCTGCGCCGCGAGGTGAAGCTGGCGGCGCGGAAGCTGGAGGCCGAGAGCCTCAACATCTCGAAGCTGATGGAGAAGGCCGAGGACCTGCGCAAGGCGCTGCGGGAGGAGCACGCGTTCCTGCAGGGGCTGGCGCTGGAGAAGGGGCGGCCCCGCGGCGCCCCCCGCGGCCCCGGGCCCCTCCCGGTGCTGTACCAGGAGGTGACGGCAGAGACCTTCATGCAGCAGCTCCTGGACCGGTCAGTGCCCGCTGCGGGGGCGGGCCGGGGGGGGGTGTGCGGGTCCGGGGTGCCCGCCCCACGCTGTGCGCTCCGCAGGGTGGACGGGAAGGAGGCGCCCTACGAGAGCCGCCTGGAGCACAAGCGGGAGCTCTGCGACCTCCGGAGGGTCCCCCCCGACGCCAAAGACCCCCGGCTCTGCCGCCCCCCCCGCAACGGCATCGTGGGGCACCTGCGGGAGGCCCCCGACAAAGTGAGGTCCCCTCCCCCCATCCCAGCCCTGCATAACCCTTCCCCATCGCCCCCAGCAGCCGCTCACCCTCCGCACCCCCTATAGGTGCCGGATGTGGGGCTCCGAGAAGAGCTGCCCTCGGATGAGAGCTTGTCCGAGTCGGGGACGTCGCAGCACTTCGCCGGTGAGGGGGCGCCGGGGGTAGGATAGGGAGGGATGGGGGGCACCAGGATGAGCACCCTCCCCAAACCACCGGCACTGATTCCTCGCCTTGTGCCTGCAGCCTGTGGGTCATTGACGCGGACACTGGACAGCGGGATCGGGACCTTCCCGCCCCCTGACTACGGGGGGATCCCCGCTAAGAGCACCCCAAAGCCGCGGGGCCGACCCGAGCCGCTGCCCTCTGGGGCCGTACCAGGGCGGCCACCAGCCAGCACCAAGGTTCCGCGCAAGGCCCGGACGCTGGAGCGGGAGGTTCCGAGCGCCGAGGAGCTGCTGGTGCTCCCCAAACACCGGAGTACCCCGACCTGCCGCCCCCCGCCCCCCTCCGGCCACCGCGCTGGGCCCCCAGGTCAGCGTCCCACGGGGAATGGTGGGGACAAGGTGCTATGGGGGGGGCTCAGCGCCCCATTGGGAGTCACGGGGAGGCCCAGCCGAGCGCTGCCCCCCCTCAGTTCCCTTGTTTCCCCCCAGACGCCGGTGCCGATGCCGGGAAGCCGCGGCGCGTCCAGCAGAGCAAGAACTGGACCTTCCCCAACGCCAAAGCCTGCGGCGCCGCCGACCCCTTCCTGTGCCCCGCGGCGGGGCTGGAGGGGCTGCACCGGCCCCCACTGGTAACGGGAGGGGAAAGGGGGGGGGAACTCGGTGCGATTGGTACCAATGGGAAGAGGGGGGGCATCACTGACCGCGCTGTTCCCCCCCCCGCAGGCCCCCGCCTGCAGCCCCGCCGCGCACCGAGGGGCGTCCCCGGAGGCGCCGCTGCCGCCCGCCCTCAGCGCCAGCAGCAGCCGCACCCCGAGCGCCTCGGACGTGGGGGACGAGGGCAGCACCGAGGCGGCGTCGCGGGACGGGGGCCACGGCCCCCCGGGGCTGGAGCACTCGGAGTCGCTCAGTGACTCCCTCTATGACAGCCTCTCCTCCTGCGGCAGCCAGGGCTGAGCCCCCCCGGCCGCGCTCGCTCGTCTTCCACAGCCCCCCCAGGCCCTGCTCCCTGGTACCCGGGATGGGGGGATCCCGGTGCCCCGTTACCCCCCCCATCACCCGGTTCTCTCCAATGGTGCTATCGCCGTGTACAGCCCCTGCCACCGGGTTTTTAACTCAATAAAGATGCCCCCCCCCCCCCGTTTATTTATATAGTTCTTGTGCAACTGCTGTGGTCTCTGCCCGCAGGATGGACGCACGGACACAGGGATGGACACGGGGATGGGGCTGAGGGTTCCATTCTGAGCGTTTATTGAATCATCCCGGTGTACAAAGAGGCGGTGGCGGGATTGGGATCGCTCCGGTTAGGATTGCACTGGCCCCGCCGCTGCTTTCCCATTGGATTTCTTGGCACTAAAGGAGAATCTGGCTGCAGGCAGGTCCCGCCGCCCCCCCACCCCACCCCGGGTACCACGGGGACACGGTGACTCTGGAAAGCTCCAGAATGCGTCAGCCATGGGATACAGGACCTGGGATAAGGGGGGGGGAGGTGGGAAACAGGGGGTTGGGGAGAGCCAAATTCCAGCAGGATCCACAAATTGGCTGGTTTCTAATCAAAGAAAAGCTTGAACAAGAGAAAAACCCACAGAGGCGAAAGCTTCCGGCTGCTTCTTACGGCAGCAAAGCGCAACCCTGGAATGGACCAGAGGGAACAGGGATGGGCGGGATGGGGACAGGGATGGGGATGGGAGGGGGACAGCTCCACCTCAGCCTGGAGCCGCTTCACTTCTTCTCCTTCTTCTTGTTCTGCGGGAAGAAAGGGGTGGTTGAGCACTGGGGGGCTCTGAGGGGTGGGTCTGTCCTCCCCAGGCCATGCCCAGGCCCCATCACCCACCTCGGTCATGCCCAGGATCATGAGGAGCTCCCGGAAGATGTTGACGAAGTCAAGGAAGAGATCGATGCAATGCCTATGGGATGGGGCAATGAGATCGGGGGTGCTGTCCTGTCCCATCCCCTCCCATCCCATCCCATGCCCCCCAGCACCCACCAGATGTAATCCTTATCCCCGCTCTCCGCCTTCTCAATGATGAGCTGCGTGTCAAAGAGCACGAAGCCGCACATGATCATCAGCCCCAGGTAGAGGTTGGCCTGTGGGAGGGAGAGGGGATGTTAGATAGGATTGGTGTCACCAACGGGAGCTGATATCTGTCCATCCATCCACCCATTATCCGTCCATCCGTCCATTCATCCATCCATCCATCCATCCATCCATCCATCCATCCATCCATCCATCCATCCATCCCATGGGGGGCTCCCAGCAGACAGAAGAGACCTCACCGTGAAGATCCAAGTGGATCCCATGAAGGCATTAACCAGGGAGGAGAGAAGCATCAGGGTGAGGCCGGAGAGCAGGAATCCTGCAGAGAGAAGGCAGGGAGTGAGGCCTGGTCCTGTCCCGCTGTGGGGAGCCCCCAGACTCCCCCCCCCCCAGTCCCTCTCACCTCCCAGGTAGAGGAAGCTGCGGCGCCGGGCATACAGGGCACTCAGTGAGAAGCAGGTGAAGATGGTGGCAGTGCCCAGGAAGGCGGTTGGGATGATGCTGGGGGAGAGAGCAGAGGGTGAATGGGGCCTGGGGGGCACTGGGGAGGCACCGGGAGCAGGGGGGCTGCTCCTACCTGGGGTTGATGGAGATGCACATCTGCAGCAGCGGCCCCAGGTTGATGCCTGCAAGAGAGAGGCAGGCGTCACCGGAGCCATTTGGGGCTCTCAGGCCCGCCCCCCACGGGGACATGGGGGGGTCCCCAGTGCCACCCACCGGTGAGGAAGGCGAAGCCCGCCAGCATCCCCAGCCTCTTGCGCTCCGTGTCGCGGCTGTGCGGGGTGGCCGTGAGCCACACCATGAGCCCCAGCGCGCCCAGGCCCGTCAGGAGGCTCAGCTGCAGGGCGAGAGGCAGACGGGGACCCAGCATTGCACCACGAAGAGGGGGTGCAAGCCAGGGGGGGGCCCAATGACGCCCCATGGGCACTCACTTGGAAGAGGTGGGTCACCGCATTGACGTACGCCCCCACGGCCGCCACCAGCATGCAGAGGGCGAAGCTGGCGTAGACCCTCTTGAGATGCTCCTGGGTGGACGCTGAGCTGCAGGCAATGGGGGGGGCAGTGAGGGGCTGGCAGGATGGATCCCCCCCGTGTCCGTCCCCCCCCCCCCAATTTACTCACATGTGGGAGAACTTGAAGAGCGCGTCCAAGTTGATGCTGCGGTCGAAGACGTTCATGGTGCCGGGCAGGGGGGGGCCGCCGGCCGCTGGGCTGGGATCAAGCTGCAAGGGGGGCGCTGGATCAGGGGGACCCCCCCGGAGCCCCATAGGGATAAAGGAGCCCCGGGGGATGCTCGCAGGAGCTGGTGCAAGCTCTGCGAGGCCTTGCAGGTGCGCCGGGGAGGGCCGGGCCCCGCGGGAGCTGCCGGAAGCGGCTTTGAGCCCCGGAACGGGGGCCCCGAGGGGCTCCGCAGCGCTGAGCGGCCTCCCCCTGCTGCGGGCCCTGCCCCACGGCGGGGGGGGGCGGCACCGGGGCAGCGCCCAGAGCCGGGGCCCTTTCGGTTTCGACGGTGCCGCCGCCGCCCGATGCGGAACCGGGACCCGCCCCCGGAGCCCCCCCCCCGCTGCCCTCCTGGACCGGGACCCGGCCGCGGGGCCTGGGGGGGCCGCAGGGGCGGCCGAGGCTGGGCCGGGCCTCCCCGGTGAGGGCCATGGGGGGCCCGGACCCTTCGGGACCCCCCCCCCCGTGCGGCCCTTTCGGGGCGGGCGCTGCCCGGTGCCTCCCCCCTAGGCCCCGCCGGGCCCCCCCCGCGTCGCCGCCGCCGCCCTCACCTGCGCGGCTCCGCGTCCGTGCCAGGCCTCGAACGGTCCCCACTCCGCCACGCCTCCGCCGCTCATTGGCCAGCGCGCTCCCAGGCCCGCCCTCCGCTTCGTTCTATTGGCTAACAACCGCCCCCCGGGGTGAGGCGGGGCTAGCGGCGGCTGACGCTCATTGGCGGCCGGCCGCGCCCGAGAGACGCAATTGGTCACACACCGCCTCCCCCGCACAGAAGCGCGACGCTCATTGGTCGGCGTAGCCGTCGCCGAGCCAATCGTAACCTCCTCACTGGCTGCCGTTCCTCTTGAGCGCCCCCCGGTGGAGCCGCCGTTACCCGCCCGTCCTTGCGCGCCCCCTGGCGGCGCCGCCGCGCTCCGGGCCGGGGCGGGGCCGGGCGGGGCGGGGCGGGGCCGGGAGGCGGCGGCGGCCGGACGCGACGGGCAGAGCCTCCCCCGCCGCCCCCCGGTGCCTGGGCCGGGGATGGGGAACGTGGAGAGCGCGGACGGGGAGGCGCTGTCCCGGGGACCGGGAGCGGCGGCGGCGGCCCAGGGGGGGCCCGGGCTGCTGGCCCCGGGCAAGATGCCGATGCCGGAGCCCTGCGAGCTGGAGGAGCGCTTCGCCCTGGTGCTGGTGAGACCCCGATCCCCGCCGCGGCCCCGGGCGCCTGCTGCGCCCCTCAAGTTCCCGGTTCTCCCCGCCCCGTTCCCCGTTGCGCTTCCCCCGCGCTCCGTTCCCGGGGGCTCCTCCTCCAGGTCCCGCCGCGCTCTCCCGGTCCGCCCTTACCCGCGGCCCCTCCCGGTGCGCCCGCCGGGGCCGAACCCTCCCGCGCAGCGCTCCCCTCCCGGCGTCCGGCTGCGGGCAGGCACCGGCGCCAAGAGGAACCGGGGGCGGGCGGACAGCGCCGGTGCCGCGGGCGTGGGCAGCGGCTGCGGGGCGGGGGGAGCCCGGCCCGGGACATCCCCGGGGGGTGACGCCGCTCCCGGTGCCAGCGGGGGGGGGCCCTCGGGACCCGGAGTTTGTTGCCGGGAAGGTCTCGTCGAGGTGGCGGACGGGGCTGGATGCGGATCCCAGCGCGCTCCCGGGGCCGCTGTCCCGGCCGGGGCGGTGGCTACCGCGCTGCGGTCACCGGCCAAGACTGCGGTGCCCCCCGGTACCGGGGGCGTCTCTGCGGTGACCCCGGCAGCGCCGCTGTCACGGGGGGCACCGCGTCCCCGATGGCCGGTTCGCAGGGATGGGATGCGGCGGCAGGGCCACCAGGACCGGGTGACACCGGGGGCTCCCGGTGGTGGCGGAAGCCACGGCCGGGCAGGAAATACCGAGCGTGGTCCCGCGGGGCTCTGGGAGCAGGAACCGGGGGGTACCGGTGGCTCACCGGCACCACCGTGCCAGGGGGACCCATTGCCCGTCCCCACGTCCCACGCGGGGCGGATGCGGGAGCCGGTCCCGGTGGGGCCGGTGGCGGGGGGGGGGCGCATCCTGCCGGGCGAGGCCGATGGCGGGGGGGGGAATCTGACATACTGGGGGGTGGCACTGGGAGACTCCGGCTCTGTTTCCCCCCCGGTCCCGGTTGCTTCTCACGGGCTGGGGCTTCAGCGCCGGTGGCCGGGGACGATCCAGCCCCGGTGTCCCGGGATGGTCTCCCGGGGGGCGGAGGCTCATTCAACCGAGGGGGGGTCCCCGGTGCGGGGGGGCGGTGGCGGAGGAAGTACCCGGCCGGGAGCGGCCTCGCTCCCACCACAAAGGCAGGAAGCGAGCGGCGGGAATGCCGGTGAGGGCGGCTGCTCTTCAAAGCCGCCCCCGGTGCCCCCGGCGGGGGCCCCCCTGTTCGTCCCCTCCGCCAGCCCCGGGGTGTCCCCGGGGGCCCCGTTTTACCGGTGCCCGCCGTGTGGCAATAGCGGGGCCCTCTGGGGACGGGGGCAGCGCTCCCGTGGGGGGGGTCCCCGTCGTGGCGGTGCCGCTGCCACCCCCCTGGCGCTGTCCCCTGCCCGGGGGTGCCCGGCCTCGCCCAGGCGTTGTCCCGGTTTCCTGCTGCTCGCGAGGCCAGGAGGGGGACCAAGGAGGGATAATTTTAGCTGCCACGGAGCTGGTGGAGCAAAGGCATCTCCCGGCTGCGGCGGTGACCGGATCCCGGTAACGGCACCTCCCGCCTCCGGGGTGGCATCGCCGGGACAGCGCCATCCCGCACCCCCGTTTGCCACCTTGCTGGTTCAGGAGACTCCTCGTGTCCCGGTCCCGGTCCCGGCCATGGAGATGCCCGGTGCCTTGGGCACCGCGGTCAGGGACCAGAGGCTGCGGTTCTGCGGCAAGGAAGTGGGAGCAGACAGGAAGGATGCGCGAGATTTGGTGCAGCCGGTGGCTGGCGCCTGGCCCTGGTGGCACTGCTGTCACCGTGTCACACTGCTGCCTGTGCCACTCCATCCCTGTGCCACACCATGGCCCCTGTGCCACACCGCTGTCCCTATGTGCTTCCCCGTGCCAGGGTCCCTGGCTGTGTCCTCCGGGGGTGGCAGTGTCACCATGTCCCCCCTTTTGCCCCAGAGCTCCATGAACCTGCCCCCAGATAAAGCCCGGCTCCTGCGGCAGTATGACAACGAGAAGAAGTGGGACCTCATCTGCGACCAGGTTGGGGGCTATGGGGGGCCATGGCTGGTCCATGGGGGACTATGGGGGGCTCTGCTGCCGTTCTGGTGCCACCAACACCCCTGTGTCCTCTCCAGGAGCGGTTCCAGGTCAAGAGCCCCCCCCATGCTTACATCCAAAAGCTGCGGAGCTTCCTGGAGCCGGGCGTCACGAGGAAGGTGAGGGATGGAGGGGGGGTCCTGGGGGCCTCAGGAGGCTGCAGGAGCCGGGGGGCGGCCGGCTCAGCCTTGCTCTGCCCCCAGAAGTTCAGGAGGAGGGTGCAGGAGTCCACCAAGGTCCTGCGTGAGCTGGAGATCAGCCTGAGGACAAACCACATCGGGTGAGTCCGGGCTCCCGGGGGGGGAGGGGGCTGCGTGGTCCCGGCCCGGCCTCGCCGCAGCTGCAGGGGAAGCCGGAGGCGCTGCAGGAACTGCTCCGGTTCCTGCCCCGGCCGTGCCGCGGCACCCTAGCTGCCGCTGCAGGTCGCGGGAGCGGATGTTGCGGGCGGGTGCAGCCGGTGCCGCCCCCCGTGGGAGCTGCTCCAGGCACCGGGAAGGGGGGGGGTTGACCCCGGCAGGGTCCGGGGAAGGGTCTGGGGGGTCTCCGTTACCGGGGGTGCGCGGGGCCGCTCGTGCACGGGCGGGGGCTGAGCCCCGCCACCGGCCCCAGCGCGGCCGCGACTTTCGGCTCTTCCCCAACCGCGGCCCGAAAATAGCAGCAGCCGGAGACAGGAAACGAGCTGGGGCGAGGGGCTGGCGCCGGCAGGAAAGGGGCGGCCCCCGGGAGCCCCCCCCCCAGCTCCCGCCGCTGCCTGACTCACGGGCTGCAGGCAGGGAACAGGCAGGGCGCAGGCAGGCGTGGGGTCCCCTGAGGCTGTGCATTCACACCCAGCACCCCTGGGTGTAGGCTCTCCCTGTGCGCACGGACCCGCTCCCCATGTGCCCATCCCGTGCATCCCAACAGCCTTCCGGGGTGTTGAGCACCCCAAGCCCCCCATCCCATCGCGGGGTGCTCTCCCCCAGCACCCAGGTCAGCTTCCCGCGGGCCCGAGCCCTCCCTGCCCTGCAGGCAACAGATAAAGCTGCGCCGGGGCTGGCGCCGCCGATAGCTGAGGGGGCTGCAACGGCCGCTGAGCCCTGGGACACCCCCTCAGCCCCCCCTTGTGCTGGGTTCCCTATGGTGGTGATGGGGGGGATCACAGTGGGAGTGGGGGTGTCCCCGGCTCCAGCGGGCTCTGATGGGTGCTCGGTGCTATAGGTGGGTGCGTGAGTTCCTCAATGATGAGAACAAGGGGCTGGATGTGCTGGTGAACTACCTGTCCTTTGCCCAGTGCGCCGTCATGTGAGTGGGGTGCTGGGGTGGGGCCTGGGATGCTGGGCGGGGGGGGGGGGGGCACGGCAATTCCCTCCTATCAGCCTCTGATCAGCACCATGGGGTCTGGAGGGACACGAGATGCTCGTCCTCATGCTGCCCACCCAGTCTTGTGGTCCTGGGGCCCTCCTTGATCCTCTCCGTGCTCTGCTGCTGCCACCCGCTTCAGCGCTTGCTGCGGTGGCTGCTGCTGCTCCACGCTGAAGCCGTGTGCTCCATCCCTGTGTGCTCCATCCCCGTGTGCCCCCTTCCCCGTGTGCTCCCGTCCATTCCCCGTGTGCCAGGTTGGATTTTGAGGGGCTGGAAGGTGAGGACGGCGCGCTGGAGAAGCTGCGCGCCTGGAGCAGGTCCATCGAGGATCTGCAGCCCCCCAGCGCTCTGCCCGCGCCCTTCGGCAGCAGCATCGCCCGCTCCGCTCGCCAGAGTGCCCTACGGTACGTACCCACCGCGGCCGGTGGGTCCCGCCAGTGCCACACTCTGCCATGGTGTGTGCCCTGTGCCATGCACCATCCTCCACTGGTGTGTGTGCCTTGTGCCATGCATCATTCTGCACTGGTGTGTGCCTTGTGCCATGCATCATCCTGCACTGGTGTGCGCCTTGTGCCATGCATCATTCTGCATTGGTGTGTGCCTTGTGCCATGCATCATTCTGCACTGGTGTATGCCCTGTGCCATGCATCATCCTCCACTGGTGTGTGCCCTGTGCGATGCACCATCCTTCACTGGTGTGTGCCTTGCACCATGCATCATCCTGCCATGGTGTGTGCCCTGTGCCATGCATCATCCTGCACTGGTGTGTGCCTTGTGCCATGCACCATCCTGCACTGGTGCATGCTCTGTGCCATGCACCATCCTGCCTTGCACCATGCATCATCCTGCCATGGTGTGTGCCCTGTGCCATACACCACCATCCTGCACTGGTGCATGCTCTGTGCCATGCACCATCCTGCACTGGTGCATGCTCTGTGCCATGCACCATCCTGCCTTGCACCATGCATCATCCTGCCATGGTGTGTGCCCTGTGCCATACACCACCATCCTGCACTGGTGTATGCCCTGTGCCATGCATCATCCTGCCATGGTGTGTGCCCTGTGCCACACACCACCACCCTGCCCTGTGCCACACGTTGCCCACGGTGCACCCTGTACCTTGCCTGTGCCGTGCCCGGTGCCACCCGTGCCACATCCCGCGCTGCCCCACGTGTGCTGCTGCTGTCCCCATCCCTGTGCCGCTGCCTCCGCTCGCCCCAGCTCTGGCTCTGCCCCGGGGTAACTCGCCCCGTCTCTGCTTCCAGGCCCGGGTCCCCCTGTCCCCTCTGGCTCTGCTCTCTCTCTCTCTCTGCCGGTAAGTACCGGCTGCTGGCGCCATCCTCCGGCCCCCTCGCCCTCCGGTTGCTTCTCTCTGCCTCTCCCCCTCCCGAAGCCGCGCTGTCCCTGCCATGGTCCCACGGGTCCGGTGCATCCCCGCTGGCAGGGTCCCGCTCACCGGCGCCCCGTGTCCCCCCTAGCTACGGGACGCTGCCGAGCCGTAGGGCACTGAAGAATTCACGCCTGGTGAGCCAGAAGGACGACGTCCACCTCTGCATCATGTGCCTCCGGGCCATCATGAACTACCAGGTACCAGGGCAGGGGACACGCGCACCCCTGGTGCCACCATTGCCACTGCGCCGGTGCCGCTAATGTCGTCCCTGCTCCGTCCCCACAGTACGGCTTCAACCTGGTCATGTCCCATCCCCATGCTGTTAATGAGATCGCTCTGAGCCTCAATAACAAGAACCCGAGGTAAGGGGGGGTCTGGCAATGGGGGAGTCCCTGGTGCAGTGTGATGTTGATAGCGTGGTGGTGATGATGGTGATGGTGATGGTGTGGCTCTGCCCCAGGATGAAGGCGCTGGTGCTGGAGCTGTTGGCAGCTGTCTGCTTGGTGAGGGGTGGCCACGAGATCATCTTGGCTGCCTTCGACAACTTCAAGGAGGTACCAACAGTGGGACCAGGCTGGGATGGGGGCACTGGGAGCAGCAGGATCAGGCTGGGACTGAGGACCAGGATCCAGGGGATGGGGGTCCGTGGCTGGGGTGGGGGGAGCTCCACGTTCACCCCATATCTGCTGCCTGCTCAGGTCTGCAAGGAGAAGCACCGCTTCGAGCGGCTGATGGACTACTTCCGCAATGAGGACAGCAGCATCGACTTCATGGTGGGACACTGGTCTGTGGGATGGGATGGGATTTTGGGGGGGGGGGGGCTCCAGTGACACCAGCCCTGCCTGCAGGTCGCCTGCATGCAGTTCATCAACATCGTGGTGCACTCTGTGGAGGACATGAACTTCCGCGTCCATCTCCAGTATGAGTTCACCAAGCTGGGGCTGGAGGAGTTCCTGCAGGTATGGGGGGACAAGGGGGCCGGAGGGGGATCCCTGGTGGACCCCCCCATCCCTGATGCTGCCCCAATGCCCGCAGAAGTCGAGGCACACGGAGAGTGAGAAGCTGCAGGTACAGATCCAAGCGTACCTGGACAACGTCTTTGACGTGGGGGGGCTGCTGGAGGATGCCGAGACCAAGAACGTGGCACTGGAGAAGGTGGAGGAGCTGGAGGAGCATCTCTCCCATGTACGTGAGCACAGGGACACGGGTCCTGGCTCTGCTGACACTGGAGGGGTGGGTCCCGGCGCTGGTGTCACATCCGTGCCCCCCCCCAGCTAACGGAGAAGCTGCTGGACCTGGAGAACGAGAACATGATGCGGGTGGCGGAGCTGGAGAAGCAGCTGCTGCAGCGGGAGAAAGAGCTGGAGGTGGTCAAGGTGAGGTGGGGGGGAGGGTCCGTGGGGTGGCCCGGCCGCCCCCCCGGTGCTGACCCCCTCCCCGCGCAGGAAACCTACGAGCACACGAGCCACCAAGTGCGCACCCTGCGGCGCCTCATCCAGGAGAAGGACGAAGCGTTCCGGCGGCGCTACGGCTCCGAGCCGCCCCCGGCGCCGGGCACCGAGGCCCTGCCCCAGCCCCAGCCCGAGCCCCCGGGGGACACCCCGAGGGTCTCCGTCCTGCCCCCCGCCGAGCCCGCGCCTCCCCCGCCGCCGCCTGCTCCCCCCCTGCCGCCCCCCGCCCCCCCGCTGCCCGGTGAGTCCATGGGGAGAGCCCGAACCGGGCAGCCGGGGTTGCAGCATCCCCGCGATGGGGAGGGAGCCTCCAAACAGGGGTGTCCCTGGTGCCGGGTGACTCCTGAGGATGGGGGTACCCGAAACAAGGCCTCACCCTCCCCTCTCTTCACAGGCAAGTGCCCCCCAGCTCCGCCACTGCCCGGGGCTTCACCCTCCATCGCCCTCACTGTGGGGCTCTCGGGTATGTGGGGACCATGGGAGCAATGGGGTCTCAGGGTGCCGGGGTTGCAATGGCCAAGGAAGGGGGGGCACAAGGGGGGGCTGAGCAGGCTCCTGCCCTGCTGCAGCCATCCGCATCAAGAAGCCCATCAAAACCAAGTTCCGGCTGCCGGTCTTCAACTGGACGGCGCTGAAGCCCAACCAGATCAGCGGGACCGTGTTCAGCGAGCTGGATGATGAGCGGGTGCTGGAGGTGAGCCGAGACCGCCCCCTGAGCAGTGCCACCACCGCTGCCCCCTCTGAGCCCCCTCCTCGCCCCACCAGGACCTGGACCTGGAGCGCTTCGAGGAGCTGTTCAAGACCAAGGCGCAGGGGCCAGCACTCGACCTGGTGTGTGCCAAGAGCAAGGGAGCGCAGAAGGCGGCGAGCAAAGTGACGCTGCTGGAGGCCAACCGCGCCAAGAACCTGGCCATCACCCTGCGCAAAGCTGGCCGCAGCGCTGAGGAGATCTGCAGGGCCATCCACACGTGCGTGGGGGGGAAGTGGGGGCAAGGGGGCATGGTTGGGGGACAGGGGGATGGTTGGGATGCAGGGGGGATGGTTGGGATGCAGTGGGGATGGTTTGGGTGTAATGGGGATGGTTGGGGTGCAGTGGGGATGGTTGGGGTGCAGGGGGGATGGTTTGGGTGTAATGGGGATGGTTAGGGTGCAGGGGGATGATTGGGGTGCAGTGAAGATGGTTGGGATGTAGGGGGATGGTTGGGGTGCAGTGGAGATGGTTGGGATGCAGGGGGATGGTTGGGATGCAGGGGGGATGGTTGAGATACAGTGGGAATGGTTTGGGTGCAATGGGGATGGTTGGGGTGCAGGGGGATGGTTGCAGGGGGGATGGTTGCAGGGGGATGGTTTGGTTGGGATGCAGGGGGATGGTTGGGATGCAGTGGGGATGGTTGGGGTGCAGTGGGGATGGTTGGGGTGCAGGGGGGATGGTTGGGATGCAGTGGGGATGGTTTGGGTGCAATGGGGATGGTTGGGGTGCAGTGGGGATGGTTGGGGTGCAGGGGGGATGGTTTGGGTGCAATGGGGATGGTTGGGATGCAGGGGGATGGTTGGGATGCAGTGGGGATGGTTGGGGTGCAGGGGGATGGTTTGGGTGCAATGGGGATGGTTGGGGTGCAGGGGGATGGTTGGGATGCAGGGGAATTGTTGGGGTGCAGGGGGGATGGTTTGGGTGCAATGGGGATGGTTGGGATGCAGTGGGGATGGTTGGGATGCAGTGGGGATGGTTGGGGTGCAGGGGGATGGTTGGGATGCAGTGGGGATGGTTGGGGTGCAGGGGGGATGGTTGGGGTGCAGGGGGATGGTTGGGGTGCAGTGGCTTCGGTTGGGGTGCAATGGCTCTGGTTGGGGTGCAGTGGCTCTGGTCGGGGTGCAATGGCTCCGGTCGGGGTGTACTGGGCGCAGGTTTGACCTGGCGACGCTGCCGGTGGACTTTGTGGAGTGCCTGATGCGGTTCCTGCCCACGGAGGCGGAGGCGAAGGCGCTGCGGCAGTACGAGCGCGAGCGGAAGCCGCTGGAGGAGCTGGCGGACGAGGACCGCTTCATGCTGCACTTCAGCAAGGTGGAGCGGCTGCCGCAGCGCATGGCCATCATGGCCTTCCTCGGCAACTTTGCTGACAACCTCCAGATGCTCACACCGGTACGAGCCAGGGACGGGGGCTTTGCGCCCACGGGTGCACCCAAAGGGACCCTGCTGACCCCGGTCCCATCCCCCTGCAGCAGCTCAATGCCATCATCGCGGCCTCAGCCTCTGTTAAGTCGTCCCAGAAGCTCAAGCACATGTTGGAGGTGGGTTGGATCCTGCCCTCCATCCTCGCTGTCCCATGTCCTGCTCCTTGCTGACCCCCTTTTCCTGCTGGATCCCTGCAGATCATCCTGGCACTGGGCAACTACATGAACAGCAGCAAGCGCGGCGCTGTCTACGGCTTCAAGCTGCAGAGCCTGGACCTGGTGGGCAGCGCTGGGATTCCCCCATCCTGGAGCGGGCAGCCCGGGGATCCCCAGCTCTGAGCCCCCCATCCCGAATCCTCCGGCAGCTCCTGGACACCAAATCAACGGACAGGAAGATGACGCTGCTGCACTTCATCGCGCTGACGGTGCGGGAGAAGTACCCGGAGCTGGCGACCTTCTGGCAGGAGCTGCACTTCGTGGAGAAGGCGGCTGCAGGTACCCCCCGTACCGCACCTCAACCCCCCCCCCGAGCACCCCCTCTGCGTGCCCTGAGCCTGGCCCCACGTCCCCGCAGTGTCCCTGGAGAACGTGCTGCTGGACGTGAAGGAGCTGGGCCGGGGCATGGAGCTGCTGCGGCGCGAGTGCGGGCTGCACGAGCACAGCGTCCTGCGCGGCTTCCTGGCCAGCAGCGAGGGCAAACTGGAGCGGCTGCAGCGGGACGCGCGCACGGCCGAGGTGAGGCCTCCTGCACCCCTTCAACACCCCTTGTGCGACTCTTGTGCTCCCCTTGTGCGCCCCTTGTGCTCCCCTTGTGCGCCCCTTGTGCTCCCCTTGTGCTCCCTTTGTGCTCCCCTTGTGTGCCCCTTGTGCTCCCCTTGTGCGCCCCTCGTGCTCCCCTTGTGCTCCCCTTGTGTGCCCCTTGTGCTCCCCTTGTGCTCCCCTTTGTGCTCCCCTTGTGTGCCCCTTGTGCTCCCTTTGTGCTCCCCTTGTGCGCCCCTTGTGCTCCCCTTGTGTGCCCCTTGTGCTCCCCTTTGTGCTCCCCTCATGCTCCCCTTGTGCACCCCTCGGGGTCCCCTTGTGCGCCCCTCGTATGCCAGCGCTGTCCCTGTCCCCGCTCCAGGACGCCTACAACACCGTGGTGCGGTACTTCGGCGAGAGCCCCAAGACCACCCCCCCGTCCGTCTTCTTCCCAGTCTTTGTCCGCTTCATCCGCTCCTATAAGGTGAGGCTGGGCCGGGAGGTGACCCTGGGGGGGGTGTGGGGGTGTGCACAGGGAAGGGGCCGTCTCCATCACCCCCCCTCGCTCCGGCAGGATGCGGAGCTGGAGAACGAGACGCGGAAGAAGCAGGAGGAGGTGATGCGGGAGAAGCTGCTGGCGCAGGAGGCCAAGAAGCAGGAGAAGGTGAGCGCGGGGGGGGACACACAAATGGGACCGCCCCCATTCCGTGCACCCCCCAACCTGTGCCCCCCCCCCCCCCTCCCAGCGCAACAAGTGGCAGCAGCAGGAGCTGATCGCGGAGCTGCGGCGGCGCCAGGCCAAGGACCATCGCCCGGTCTACGAGGGCAAAGACGGCACCATCGAGGACATCATCACCGGTACGGCCCCCGCCGCCCCCAGCCCGGCCCCCCGCGGCCCCGCCGCGCCCCGGGAGGCTGACGTGTCCCTGTGCCCCCCACCCCCCAGCGCTGAAGAGCGTCCCCTTCACCGCCCGCACGGCCAAGCGCGGGTCCCGCTTCTTCTGCGACCCCGCGCACCACGACGAGTCCAACTGTTAGCGTCAGGTACCGCGGCGCGCCAAGACCCCCCGTACCGCGGAGCCCCCCCGGTACCACAGAGCTTCCCCGGTACCGCCGGGCCCCCCCAGTACCGCCGAGCCCCCCCGGTACCGCCGAGCCCCCCCGGTACCGCTGGGCCCCCCCGGTACTGCTGGGCCCCCCCGGTACTGCTGAGCCCCCCCGGTACCGCCGAGCCCCCCCGGTACCGCCGAGCCCCCCCGGTACCGCGGAGCCCCCCCGGTACCGCCGAGCCCCCCCGGTACCGCCGAGCCCCCCCGGTACCACGGAGCCCCCCCGGTACCGCAGAGCTTCCCCGGTACCGCCGGGCCCCCCCGGTACCGCTGAGCCCCCCCGGTACCGCCGAGCCCCCCCGGTACCGCCAAGCCACCCGGCCCTGCATGCCCCCTCCTGCACGCCCCCTCCCCGCATGCCGTCACCCCAGGGTGCCCCTCAGGTCCTGGTACAGGATCCCAGTGCAAGGCTGGATCCCAGCACCAGATCCCAGTGCAATGTGGAGGTTCTGGCATAAGACCCTGGTGCTGGATCCTGGTGCAAGGGGGGATTTGCTGCATGGGGGCTCTGATGCAGATCAGGGTCCTGGTGCAATACTGCATCCCAGTGCTACACTGGATCCCAGGACAGGATCCCGGTGCTACATGGGATTCTGGTGCAGGATCCTGGTGCTATACTGGATCCCAGTGCAGGATCCTGGTGCTATACTGGATCCCAGTGCAGGTTCCCAGTGCTATACTGGATCCTGGAGCTATACTGGATCCCAGTGCTATACTGGATCCTGGTGCAATACTGGATGCCAGCACAGGATCCCGATGCTATATGGGATCCTGGTGCAGGATCTTGGTGCTATACTGGATCCCAGTGGTATATGGGATCCCAGCGCTATACTGGATCCTGGTCCTACACTGGATCCCAGCCAGGTGCCTCAGCCCCTGACACGGCCCCTTCCCCTCTCAGCCCGCAGGTGGATCCGGCTGTAGCTGTGGCAGGGCCTGGACCCCAGCACCGGATGGGGGGGCACTACCTGGACACCCCCTCCCGCCTGCATTGGGGCCCAGCTGACCCCTGGGGGTGCCCCCACCCCATTGGGGTTCTCCCCCACAGCTCCCCATGGGGACCACGGGGCACCCACCCCCGCGCTCGTCACTTTGACCACAGATGTGAACACTAATTGCCAAAGAAAAGGGACCAAAGCCAGGCTGGGGGGGGGGAGTGGCAGGACGGTGCCCCCCCCCCCCCGCCCCAGACCCCCCCCAATCCAATCCCCCCCCCCCCCCCGTGACTTTTTGTACATGTGAAATATATGGAGACTTTTACATGGCTGCTGCCTGCTTTGGGGGGGTACAGTGGGGGTTTGGGAAGCATCCCCGCGCTGGGAATCCCATATCCTGGGGAGAGGGGGCACATACATGTAGGGATGAGATCCTTAAATAGTGGGGTGCTATTAACTATAGGGGATTGAAGGGAGGGAGAAGCCCCCCCCTTCACCCATCTCACTTCAGGTGGTCCCAGTGCACCCAGTGACAGCAGCTGGGGGGAACTGGGAACAGTTTAGGGCTGGGGGGGCTTTGGGAACAAAGGGAAAAGGGGATGGAAGGACAGGATATGGCCTGAGCATCACTGGGGCCAAAGGATGCAGCTCCAGCATCTCCACCATTTGGATACAAGGGGCTGGAAGGGCAGGTGCAACCCCAGATCTGCCCCCCCAGCACAGTGGGGCAGAAGCAGCCCCCAGGGCAGGGCCCAGCCCAAGGATTAACCCTGACAACAGGGAATAAAAGTTTCCCTTAATCCCCCCAGAGGATTACCAGCACCGCCGCGCCCAGGACCCTTCTAATCCATGAGCACAAGTCCCCGGCGCCATCCTGCTTCATCTGTGCTGCTGCGGGTGAAGCTGCTGTGGTCCCTCCGTCCATCCCTGCATCCCTGTGTCCATCCATGGGGCTCCGAGGGGTCCCTGGGTCCATCCATGGGGTCAGACGGGTCCCTCCGTGCCCTCGGGAACCCCCTCATGGGAGGGGCGCCGCTCGCCCTGGGCCAGGGGGGCCACCAGGGGCTCGGCTCTCAGCAGCAGGTTACAGCCGAGGAAGAGGAGAGCCAAGGCGATGGTGGCACCGAGCACCAGGACAAGGGCGATCTGGGCAGCCTGAGCCACCCCCCAGGCGCCGGTCTGGGCCAATGTGGAGTTCAGCATCTCCTCCTCCTGGGAGCAGAGTGGTGGCAGTGACAGACGGGGAGGGTTTAAGTGATGTCAGGGACCGTCTTCATCACCCGCGGGCCCCTCCCCGCAGAGCCCAGCACCAGAGGGAAGGAAGCGGCTTCTTTGACCCTCCCTTGGTGATGTAGGAACTGTCCCATCCCTTGGGTGCACCCAGGGGGTCTCCTCTCCCTGGGGATGGGGGGGAGCAGGGGGATCCCATTGACTGCCAGGACAGGAGCAGACTCCATAGGAAAGGAGAAACTCTTTATTGTTGCCCCCGTGTGGGCAGCAGCTCATCCCTGGAGGTGCCACCACAGGGGACAGGCAGGGACAGCACTGGCTGTGCTGCACAGGGAGGGCTGGAGGGCAGGCACAGGCAGGGCTGGCCGGGGTTTGGATGCCATCCCAGCTCCCACTGCGTACCCAGCAGCTCTCAGCCACTCTGGGAGCTGCGGAGCCGGTTCTCCAAGCCGGGCAAGTGGCCCATCGTGCAAAACAAACAAGCAGCAACCCCCAATTAAGGCCCAGGCCAAGTCCAGCTCCTGGCAGAGGCTTTCTGGAGGTGAAGAGGAGGGATCTGAGGTCCCAAAGAGCTGGGGGCAGGCGAACCTGTCTTGGTGGCACCTATAGGGCCAGAGTGTCCTTGATGAGGCGGCGCATGGTGGTGGTGACCGAGGTGCCCAGCGTGTCCGTGATCTGATAGGAGATCTTGTAGAGGTAGGGCTGCACGTCCTTCAGGCTGGTGTCAAAGACGTTGTCCACCTCTGACTGTGTGGGCATCTTGGGCAGGTACTCGTGGCGGTTCATCACCTCCACGATGTTGATGATCTTCTCGCAGAGCTTCTCGCCCACCTTCTCGCGGCAGATCTGCCGCTCCTGCTCGTTGGCCAGGTTCACCACGTTCACCTTGATGGTCCACAGCTCCCAGGGGATGCACTCGTCCGAGAAGGGCCAACGTGACTTCTTCTTCTGGTAGAACTCCAGGGAAATCTGCCCCATCCCATCGCTGCCCGAGCTGCGCAGCGCATCCTACAGGGACAGCACATGGCCCCGCTTAGGGGGGAACAAAAAAGTCCCTTCCCATTGCAGACCCAGCCTCAAGCTCCTGCTTTGTCCCTATGGGACCCCCTTTACCTGAGCTCCTGCTTTACCCCCATGGACCCCCTTTACCTGAGCTCCTGCTTTGTCCCTATGGGACCCCCTTTACCTGAGCTCCTGCTTTGTCCCTATGGGACCCCCTTTACCTGAGCTCCTGCTTTACCCCCATGGACCCCCTTTACCTGAGCTCCTGCTTTGTCCCTATGGGACCCCCTTTACCTGAGCTCCTGCTTTGTCCCCATGGGACCCCCTTTACCTGAGCTCCTGCTTTACCCCCATGGGACCCCTTCACCTGAGCTCCTGCTTTACCCCCATGGGACCCCCTTTACCTGAGCTCCTGCTTTACCACCATGGGACAACCTTTACCTGAGCTCCTGCTTTACCCCCATGGGACCCCTTCACCTGAGCTCCTGCTTTACCCCCATGGGACCCCCTTTACCTGAGCTCCTGCTTTACCACCATGGGACAACCTTTACCTGGGACATGGGACCTTTACCTGAGCTCCTGCTTTGTCCCTATTGGACCCCCTTTACCTGAGCTCCTGCTTTACCCCCATGGGACCCCCTTTACCTGAGCTCCTGCTTTACCCCCATGGGACCCCCTTTACCTGAGCTCCTGCTTTACCCCCATGGGACCCCCTTTACCTGAGCTCCTGCTTTACCCCCATGGGACCCCCTTTACCTGAGCTCCTGCTTTACCCCCATGGGACCCCCTTTACCTGAGCTCCTGCTTTACCCCCATGGGACCCCCTTTACCTGAGCTCCTGCTTTACCCCCATGGGACCCCCTTTACCTGAGCTCCTGCTTTGTCCCCGCGGGCCCCCCTTACCTTGAACTCCCCCACCGCCTTGCGCAGGGCCCGGTCCAGCTCCTCGGAGGAGACCCGGACGTAGGCGAAGTCGATGAAGTCGCAGTCCACGTCCTGCGTGCCCACGGTGCCGATGGAGTAGGTGCCCTCCTTCTTGTAGTGGAACTTGCCGGTGCTGCGGTGCAGCAGGACCGTGTGCAGCACGGCCAGCATCGCCTCCTCCACCTGCCGGGCCTCCACCGACACCTCCAGCACCTCGGCGCGGCAGTTCATGGCGGGCCCGGCGCGGGGGGAGGCGCAGCACCGGGTCCTGCGGGCCAGCAGAGCCTCGTTGTGCCCCGTGCCCACCCCCGGGCCTCCCCGCCCCGCTCGGACCCGGCTCCCCCCGCTCCCCGCGGCCTCGCCCTTGCTCCCGGCCCCGGCCCCGCACTCACCGCCCGGGCCCGACCATCCGACCGCAGGGAGGACGGAAGTGGGGCAGCCCATCTGCGATGGGGGGAGCAGAACACGCCATCGACCAAGGTGCCAGCGCACCCCGCAGTAGAAGCCGTGTTTCCTCGCTCTACGCCTCTCGTTATTAACACTGTGCTTCTCGGTGGCGCGCCCCGGCTCGGTGCGGCCCCGGCGGCGGAATCGCTGTCCCCGTGCCGTGGCTCCCCCCCTCCGCTGCCTCTCGCTTGGTTCGTTCCGGACACATGCGCCACAGAGCTGGGCCCACCGCCGTGCAGAGCGGCGCACGTCCTCACAGCGCCCCCTGCTGGAGGAGGGACTGCAGCGGGGCTGGGGCCCCCCGTGACCCCCGGTGACCCCCCCCGGGTGGGGACAGGGAGGGGCCACAGGGGACGAGGAGAGGACACAGGGACACGGGACATGGGGACAGCAATGTGAGGACATGGGGAAAGCGGGGACAGACGGACATGGGACCCTAGGGACAGGGGGACACTGGGACACAAGGGAAGGGGGGCATGGGGGCACCAGAGACAGGGGAACAGAGGAATATGTGGACACGGGGCACAGGGGATACTGGAGACAGGGACATGGGGACACAGGGACAGGGAGGATGGATGGACATGGGGGAACAGGGACAGGAGGACACAGGCACAGGACACGTTGGCATCAGGCCACCTCTGCCCCTGTGGGGACACGTGTGCTGGTGTGCACAGAGGGAGGGCTGTGGCCATGGCGTGTCACCGGGCACACGTGTGGCACATGTGTCAATGCCATGCAGCCCTGGGGCAGCCGGTGGGGTCTGTGCCAGCCCCGGGGCTATTTTTACCGGGCCCCACTGGCACCATTGTCCCCATCCCTCCTGCAGCAGCTACTGCCAAGGGTTTGGGGACAGGGATGAGGACAAGGTGGGCACCGTGTGGGACACTGCAGCGAGGGGACAGGGCCCCACCGCCCTGCTCTGAGCCAGCCCGTGCCCTTGCGATGCACAGTGGGACTGGCACGGCAGGACACAGACATTCCTGCCCCATGGCATGGCCATTCCTGCCCCACAGCATGACATAGCTATTGCAGCCCAGCACCAAGCCATAACCCCCCCTTTCCCCCCATCCTCGCTGAATGAGGCCATCCTACCCCCCAAAACACCACCCCCCCGCCATGGCCCTGCTGTGCGTCAGTGCTGTCCCCATGGCCAGGGTGGGTGGCAGGGGGGACAGAGGGACCCTTGTTATGTGCTGCCGCAGGCCCCCCCGGTCCAGCCCTTCAATGTGGCCCTTGTTCAGCACCGGCCCTTGGTGTCCCCATTGACATTGGCTCCAGGGCCAGGCTGTCCCCGGATGGATGAACGGGACAAGCTGGGGGGGAACATACACACGGCACCAGCTTGGTCCACCCCCCCAATGAACCAGGACCGCCGCTCCCCCTGCCGCGGCTGGTGCTGGCACTGGCCACATCCCAAGGGACAAGGGGGACATGGTCACGCTTCCTGGTTATTTTAGGGATCATAAATCAGGCGAGCGACAGGTGCCAGGGGGAGAGTGACGGCTCAAGGGCAGTGGCGTGGGCAACGTGCGGCTCCGGGCCCCCCCGTCCCCAACCCGCCCCCCCCCCCCAGCTGATACAGGCAGGGAGGATGCACGAGGGAAACGGGCGCTTTTGGCAGCTTTCGTACAAGTTTATATACAGAAAATGGCCCAATGAGGCAAAAAATAAAGGAAAAATATATAAAGGGGTTGGGAGGGAGTTTGAGGGGATCCCCCCCCCGCGCCCTCCCGCTCTGTACAGGATCCGTCCGCTCGCTATTTACAAAGGGGGTGTTTTTACAGGGGAGATGGGGAGCACCGCGCCGGCGATGCCCCCCCGGGGGAAAGGCACTGGGGCAGCGCCATGAAGGCACATGTGGGAGCCGGGTTATCCCTGAGGGATGGGAGGGCTTCAGAAGGGCAGCGTGTCCATGAAGATCTTGTCGACGATGGGCGGTGGTGGCACCAGGTCCGCCAGCTTCAGGTAGAAGATGCGCTGCAGCCCCTGCGTGCAGAGGCTGCGCAGCTCCGGCAGCTTGCCCAGCAGCTTGGAGAGGCAGCCAGGGCGGGCGGGCTCCGGCCCCGCCGCCGCTACGTGCTCCTTCAGGCAGCCCACGATGCGGTTCTGCAGGTCCTCCACACGCTTGGGCTCCTTCAGTCCGTGGCGGTCTGGGAGGGGGGACAAGCAGAGACGTGAGGCCATGGGGATTGGTGGGGATGGGGACAGCGCGGGGACAGGGCTGGGTCCCACCTGTGATGATGACGAGGGCAGCGAGGCAGGAGAAGGAGGGGACATCGACGCTCATGCGGTGCAGGCTCTGGGAGAACTCGAGGATGGCGTCGATCCACTCGCCGAAGCCCCGCACGCACTGCAGGCGGTGCAGTACCACCCCGTTGCAGAAGATGAGTTTCCCTTCCTCTGGCTTGGAGCTGTGGGGACAACCGTGTGTCACCCCACTGAGCATACCCCCCGGGCTCCCCACGCCGTGCCCCCGAGCCCCACCGGTATGCCAGGCGCAGGATGAAGAGCTCGAGGAAGGCAGATTCCAGCAGCAGGTCCTGGTCCTCCTTGGGCAGCTCAGTGAAGCCCTGGATCTTCTCAGCCCACTTGCGGATGACGTCCATGGAGCCGGTGAGCAGGTCATAGAACTGCTGCACGTCCACCGAGTCCTCCTTCTCGAACTGGCATGGCACCGACTCCTGGAACTGCCACGGGAACTGGGTCAGGAACTGGGTCAGGATCTGGCCCCGAAGCAGCCCCGGCCGTGGCACAGGATGACATCAGCCTTACCTTGGAGTAGTCAAGCTTGGTGGCGCTGGGGATGGAGTCGATGTGTGCCCGCACCAGGGAGGTGATGAGGCTCATGGGGGACGTATCAGGTGGCTGCTTGGGCTTGGAGGGCAGCCGGCCCCGTCGCCCCTTCAGGCTGTCGGTCCGGACCACTGCAGCAAGGGACAAGCAATGAGCGAGTCTGTCCTCAGCGCAGGCTGGGGAGCAGGAACCCCCCTCTCCCCCCAACCCCAGGATGGGTTCCCGGTACCTTCTTTGACCATTCCGACTGCCAGGCACTTCTGGAAGCGGCAGAACTGGCAGCGGTTCCTCCGCCGCTTGTCCACGGGACAGTCCTTGTTGGCCAGGCAGATGTACTTGGCGTTCTTCTGCACCGTGCGCTGCGGGAGGGGAAGGAGCAGCCCCAGCTCAGCCTGGGGCGCTGAAGCCACCGAACAAAAGCCCTTCTGTCCTCCCCTGCCTCCCGCCCCAGCCCAGCATCCGGCTCCACATCCATGGGGAGGGCTCCGGGGGCCGCGCTCCCTGCCCTGCCCCTCCCCGGGGTGCCCTGTAGCATCCTCCTCCGGCTGCTGCAAAGCACTGTGGGAGTATCCTGGCAGCGGGTTGGGACTGGGGGGTGGCCCTTTACCTTGAAGAAGCCCTTGCAGCCCTCGCAGGTCCGCACGCCGTAGTGCTGGCACGAAGCGTTGTCACCGCACACGGCGCAGCGGCCGTCGCCAGCACCGGGGCTCCGTGTCTTGGTGGGGGCCAGCGCTGGCCCCTCCAGCAGCGGCGAGGTGGGGGCCAGGGGCATCCCGGGGAAGCCCCCGGGGGAGCCCTGGCCCGGGGTGAAGGCGTCTGTGTCCAGCAGCCGCGGGTCCAGGCAGGACGAGGGGCCCGGTTGCCCCTTTAGCGTGCCGGGAGACCCCCCGGGGCTGGGCGCTGGGGGGCTGAAGGTGAAGAAGGGGGACTGGGACCCCCCGCCCTTGGCCGGCTCAGCCCAGGGCTGCGCACCCTCGTAGTTCGGCAGGGGCGAGAACGCCCCGAAGGAGCCCTCCCAGCCCGGAGCCTGGGGCTGTTGGAAGCCCGGCGTGGCGGGCGAGGGGACGGAGCAGGGGCTGCCGTAACAGTCCGAGCCGCTGGAGGAGAGGGTCTCATCCTGCTGCCCGCCGAAGGCGCTGGGGTAGCAGCCGTAAACCTGGAAGTCCTCCAGTTTGAAGGCGGCGGTGGCCTGGCTGCCGGCAGGCAGCTGGTAGAGGAAGGCATCGAACTCGCCGGCGTAGCCCTCCATGAAGGTGCTGAAGCTGGGCAGGGCTGGGGCGGCCGCGAGGTCGGCTCCGGCCACTTCCATAGGGAATCGGCCGCCGTCGGGGCTGAGCAGCTCTGCCGGGCAGCGCTCGCAGGGGCCGGTGCCCGCTGTGCCGTACTGCGCCTGGATGCAGGGCATCTCTGCGGGGAGAGCAGGGCGTCAGCGCAGACCCCACCGCCGCCGCTCGCCACCCGGAGGATGGAGACGGGGCGAGAACCAACGGGGGCTTCCCCGGGGTCCCCCCGTGCCGGATCCGGACCCCCCGAGCCTCTGGTGCCCGGTGGCAGCCGCCACTGTCCCCACAAAAGGTCACGCTGCAGCCAATGGGCGCAAAGGACATTCCCCAAAACGCTGGCTTAGCAAAGCCACCGAAAGGGAAGGAGCAAGGAATGTGGCCGGCGGATTCCCGAGTCCCGGGGCTGGCCCGGGGAAGACGGGGCTGAACCAGGGCTTGAGGGTCCCACTCCCTCCATGACCCATTTCGGGACCTGTCGGGAAAGCAAAGCAGCCGAAGCCACCGACTGCGGGGGATGCAGAGCCCACCCCAGTGTCCCCCAGCGCCGCGGCACAGATCCGGCCCCATGCGGGACACAAGAGGAGTCCCGGTGCAGCTGAAAGCCGAGGCAGGAGTGACCCGGTGGCAAGATGATAATGTAATTCATCTCGCAGACCTTTAAAGGTCACAGCGTGCCCGGCCCCCGGCAGCCCCGGCCCCACTGCCAGCTCAGTCACCGGCTTCCCCCAGCCAAGCCCGGGCAGCTTTCCCCAGCTCCGGGAAAGCCGATCCCTGCCCCAGGAGCCAGGGTTAAAAATACCCAGGCTGGTTCCAGCCCTGGCACCTGGTTTGGGACCATCCACCAGGGATCGTGGCTGTGATGTGCTCCTTCGATTCTCCTCTCCGTCCCTCCGAGAGCAGGGGGAGGGCAAGAAAGGGGGGGAAGTGAGTGAACGAATTACCTGACTGGGTTTAAACCACGACAGGTGGGTTCAGAAGGGATGGTGACTCCCCCCAACTGCCTCCTGTCCCTGCACACAGCCGGAGGACATTGGTGCTTCCTTACTCAAACACTTTCCCCCTCGCTGGTGGCATTTGGGGTCCCCCTGCCATGAACCCCCCCCAGGGCACAGATCCCCCCCACAGCCCCTGCGCTGCCCATGGCCTGGGCAATAACTGCAGGTTCCTGATCCAGGAGTGCAGGCATCTGCCCGTGCCTGGGCACGATGGGTGCTGCCTGCACGGGCTGGTGGCAGCCCCTGGCACGGGGCCCTGTGCTGCAGGCGGGTGACAGCAGCCGGCAGCAGGTAACACTGCCCACGTCCTGCCTGCACCCCCTGCCTGGCACACTGCCTGCACCCATTGCCTGCCACCTGCCTGCACCACCTGTCTGCACCCTCTGCCTGCATTCATTGCCTGCACCCCCTGCTTGCACCCATTGACTGCCCTACTGCTTGCACGCCCTGCTTGCACTACCTGCACCTCCTGCCCACACCATGATGCCCCCGGTGGCTGCCCCCATGGTGCTGCCCGCTCTGGCTCTGTGCCAGCTCTGCTCGGTGGGGTGTCCCTGGCGGGGTGTCCCGTGCTGGATAGGGAGAAACGGCTCCCGGTTCCGCACAGCTCTTCCGGGAGCCCGGTGTCAGGCAGTCCCCGGGACCCCCAGGACCGGTGCCCCGCCCCTCCCGGCTCTCCCCGCTGCCTCCGAGGGGCAGCCCCGCACAGTGCACACCATCCGGTCCCTTCCACCCTCTCCAGTGGCACCGGGGCTCGCCGGGACTCGTCTGTCTTTTGGACAGGGAGCACCTGAGTCCCCCGGTGCCACCGGGCCGCCCGACACCATGCAATGCACTTTGCAGAACGCCCACAGCCCTGAGCCTCCTGTGCCAACAGGACTCCAGACCCGGTTCCCACCGGTACCACTGGAACGCCCGACCCGGCTCCCCCCGGTGCCACCGTCACTCCTGACCCGGTTTCCTCCGGTGCCACCGGCACTTCCGACCCGGTTTCCCCCGGTGCCACCGACACTCCCGATCCGGCTCCCGCCGGTGTCACCGGGACTCCCGACCCATGCCTTTTGCAGAACTCCCACCGCCCTGAGCCTCCGGTGCCACGGGACTCCCGACCCTGCTCTCTCCGGTGTCACCGGGACTCCCGACCCGGTTCCCGCCGGTACCACTGGGACGCCCGATCCGTCTCGTCCCGGTGACACCGGCACTCCCGATCCCTCTGCAGAACTCCCCCCGCCTTGAGCCTCCGGTGCCACCGGGACTCCCGACCCCTTTTCCCTCCCGTTGCCCCCGCTCGGTGCCGCCCGTACCGGGGTGCCGGCGCCCCGCTCCCGCTCCGCTCCCGCTCCTCCTCCGCGGGCTCCGCCGGGCTCCGGCTCCGCCACTACTTTCTCTTAAGCGCTCGGTGACGCGCGGGGCGGCGCGCGGGTCCGTGACGCACGGCGGCGGGGGGGGGGGGCGGTTCCGGCGGGGGCGCGGCCGTGACGCACGCGGGGTTCCATTGACGCAACCGCGGCGCTCGCGCTAAAAATACTCGCGCGGACCCGGCTAAAAATAGCGCGGGAGCCCCCCGCCCCCCCCCCCCCCCCGCCGGCGCTCCCGGAGCTGGACGGGGAGGGGACACGGGGGGGGAGGCCCCGGTGTCGGCACCGGGAAGGGCAGGGCGGGGGAGGGTATCCCCGGTGTCCCCTCGCTGCCGGTACCCCGCTGCTGGCATCTCCCGGTGCCGTTATCCCCGCTGGTTCCTCGGTGCCGCTTTGCCCGGAACCCCCTCAGTGCTGGCATCCCCGGTGCCCCCTTGGTGCAGGTATCTCCAGTGCTGTTAGCCGTGGTGTTCCCACCCTCGGTACCCCCTCCATGCCCCCGTCTCCAGTGCCCCCTCGCTGCCTCTACCTCGGTACTCCCATCTCCGGGGCTCTCAAGGTGCCGGTATCCCCGGCACCCTCATCCCTGCTGCTATCCCCGGTGCCAGTATCCCCATTGCTCTCCTGTGTCCCCGGCGCCGCTATGCCCACTGCCCCTTATTCCGTTGTTTTTGGTGCCGGTACCCCCGATCTCCTCCCGCTCAATGGCTGGGTACCGGGGGGGGTTGCAGGGGACGCTGGGTCCCGCCTCACACCCGGTCCCCGCGGGGAGACCCTTGGCCGGGCCGATGGAAAGAGCGGCGGCTGCTGGCGGGCTCCCAGCGCCAGGAACACCGCCCGCGGGCTGGAAAGATGAGCTCAGCCTGTGCGGGGCCGGGCCGGGCCGACGGGAGGGCGAGGGGCGGGCGGAGGGTGTCTCGGTGCCCCCCCGTTACCGCCCTCGTACCCCCCTGTGCCCACCGGTACTACGTCGGTACCCAAGGATACCCGGTTTCAGGGGCAAACCGAGGGTTTTGAGGGGCCCAGGCCCGCCGTTCTCTTTCGTCCTCCCCTGGTTGTCAAGTCTCGTTAATGCCACCCCCGTTAGTGCCACCCCCGCAGAGCCCCCCAGCCGCGGCAGAGCCCGACCGGGGGAGCGGAGAGACCTTGGGGCCGGTGTCGCCGTGTCCTCGCTAATAGCAGTCCGCGCTGTGGGGGTGCTTTTCAGGCATCCGCCCATCCCCGGGGAGTCGGGGCTGCAGTGGTGGGGAGCGGGGCCCAAGGAGGAGATGCCGGGACCCCGGTGCCAGGACCCTGCCCGGCTTCACAGGAGCCGGCTCCGCGATGGGGAAGCTCGCACCGGAGGGGTCGCGGGAGTGCCGAGGGTACCGGGGATACCGGGGGTACCGGCGCCCTCTCCCGCCGCCAGTTCCCGGCTCCCTCGCGCCGCCAACCCCAGGCGAGACGGCCCCGTGACGTCACACCTGGCCGATGACGTCCCCGGGATCCCGCGGTATCACCGGAGCTGCCCCCGCGGGGAACCCAGGGCTCGACCGGCACCTACCGGGGGTTCCCGCTCCCCGCGGCCGGTACCGGGGCTTGGGCCGGGGCTGCGGCTGGTGCCAGCTCGGGGGTACGGGCAGGAGCCCCTGAGACGGTCAGGCCGAGGGTCCCGGAGCCGATGGGAGTCCCGGAGCCATTGGGGTCGCAGCGCGGGGCCGGGAGCAGAGCTGGAGGCAGGCGGGTGACACCGGCAGCCCCCGCACACGGGATTAGCTGTACCCCGGGGGTGGAGAGAAACCGGAGCCCGGTCACCCCGGCAAGGCCATGAGGGGGTGCGCAGGGAGAGCCCCGGCTCACACCCGCCTCCGGGGCGCTCATGTCTGCGTGCTGGGTACAGGATGCACATGGCCGGCCCTGGCTCGCAGCCCTGAGTCCATATTTGTCAGCAGTGACCGCCTGCTCCAGGCATTCCCAACCCATATCCCGCATCCTCAGCCCCCAGCACTGCCCGGCTTCGCTGCGGCCACGCGTGACCGCGGAGTCCCGCCAGCGCCTGGCACACGTCGGGCTAAAAACAGCCCCGTGTGGGGCAGCAGCTGACGGGGAGGGGGCGTCCCGTGATGGCCATGACGGGGACGGGGTGCCCCGACCCTGGCAGCGGCTGAGCGCGGCCCCGGGAGCCAGACCATAAATGTCCAAGCACGGAGCGGTGCTGGAACGGGGACAAGGCAGGAGAGCGGCGGGGGCCCTGCCCGGCTCCATGCATACGGCACAGGCATGGGCACACGCAGCCCCGCAGCACACACATGCAGCACACACAGGCAGCACACATGTAGCACACACATGTAACACACATGTAGTACACATGTACCCACAGCCCCTGGGGGTCTGATCCTCAAATCCTCCTGCAGCCCCCCTGGGGATGCGGGGGGCTGAGCCATGGCCTGACCCCCTGGGCCCAGTTGTGGGGTGCAGGAGCTCAGAGCTAGGGGGTCCCCAAATTCACGATGTCCCAGCTAGGGATGGGCGCAAGGCAGAGGGGAAACTGGGGCACGGGGCCTGGAACAGAGCGCTGGAGGCTCCTATGGAGACCTTGTGCAAGGCCACTCCATTGCACCCATGGGTGCTCGCTGCAGAAACCGGGGGGGGTGTGTCTGTGGACCCCGGGGCGGGGTGTGCGGGGACCCCCGTGCCCGTCCCGGGCGGAAGGGCTCGGCTGGGACCAGCTTCCCGCCGGCTGCCGGAGGAAGCAGGAGCAGGAAGGGCTTGGCCAGGGCCCCGCAGCGCCGGGACGGGGCCCAGGGCACGGGGACCCGGAGGGGTCCTCAGTGACATCGCTCACACCGGCAAAGGGGCATCGCGGGGGCCTGGGGGACACGTGTCCATCCGTCCTCCCCCCGGGCTCTGTGTCCACCCCAGTCACAGCCACACAGCACTGCAAAACGTCTCTGTATTGGTACAAAAGCCGCTGGGGCAGGACCCCCGTGAGCCCCGAGCTGGGGACGGGGATGGGGACGGGACACGCAGGGTCCCCCCCACGTCCCCCAGTGAGGATGGCACTGGTTCCTGAGGTGAGCGGTGGCTTCGTGCACCGGGCCGGGGGGGGTGTGTGTGGGGTGTGTCCGTGTCTGTCCCGTGGTGCTGGGGCCCCCGATGGCTTGAAGCGGCCAAGCCAGGACCCCTGGGGCTGACCCCGAGCTCCTCCCGTGGCCCCCGGAGGGGGCTCATAGTCCCTTGCAGTAAATAAATAGGCCCGGGGCAGGGATGTCTCGGTACCCCCGTTAGAGGTGACTCCTCCTGGTACCCCTTTAGAGGTGATGCTTCTCTTGGAACCCCCGTTAGAGGTCATTGCTCCTGGTACCCCTTTAGAGGGGATGCTTCTCTTGGTACCCCCATTAGAGGTCATTGCTCCTGGTACCCCTTTAGAGGTGATGCTTCTCTTGGTACCCCTGTTACAGGTGACTCCTCCTGGCACCCCTTTAGAGGTGATTCTCCTCTCATTAACCCCCATTAGAGGTGACTCCTCCCTGTACCCCCGTTAGAGGTGACCCCTCTGTAGCCCCCGTTAGAGGTGACTTTCCTCCTCCTCCAGCGCCCGGTTCAGCCCCGGGATGAACTTGAGCAGCCGCCGGCGGAAGCTGCTGTGCCGACCCTTGCGGGGGGCAGCGGCCGCCCCCTCCCCGGGGTCCCCGGCCCGGCCCCACAACCGCGCCCCCGGGCCCGCCCCACACTTGAGGCTGGCGCTGCGGGCCAGGGCTGGCCGGGGGCGCGGTGGGGGGGGCGCGGGCCCCGAGGTGCCCCTGTCCTTGTCCCCGTCCCTGTCCCCGGCCTTGTCCCGGTCCAGCGAATCGGCGGAGGCGAAGAGGCAGGTCTGGTACAAGGAGTCATCGCTGCCGCTGGCACGGGGGGAGCCGCCGGGGAGCCCCCCCTCGCCCTGCAGGCACCAGCGGATCGACTCCAGCGTGTCGTAGATGCTGGGGTCCTTGGCCACCACGCCTGATGTGGAAACACGGGGGTTAAAGGGGCCGGGGGTGCCCCACAGCCCCCTCAAGCCCTCCCCGGCCCCCACTCACCCCGCACCAGCCGCTGCTCCTGCACCATCAGCGAGCGGTACTCGCCCCACTTCTCATAGAGCGTTTGCTGCAGGGGAGGGGGTAGGGGGTGAGAACCCCATGGGGGGGTCCCCAGCCCCTCCCAAGCCCCCTCCAGCGCCCCTTCCTCACCTTCAGGTACTGCAGCCGGGCCTCCAGCTCAGCCCTCCGGATGGACGTCCCGTAGAGCGTGTCGAGTCTATGGGCCAGCCACCGTCAGCACCAAGGGCGCTGTGCCTCCCGGGGCCCCCCTGCACCCCCCAGCTCACCGGAGCACATTGCCCGAGCTCTTGATGATCTCCACGATGTCCCGGTGCCGGACGCCCTCCACGTTGAGCCCGTTCACCCCTGTGATTGTGTCCCCTAGAGCCGCATTGGGGGGGACAAACAGAGGCTCAGGGATGCTGCTCCCCCCCCCGGGCCCCCCCGACCCCCCAGGGATGCGCTCACCAGCCTTGAGCCCTGCAGCCTCAGCCGGGCTCCCGCCGTGCACCCGGCACACGAAGGTGAACATCTCCACACTGTTCCTGTCCTGGTGGTGCAGCCCATAGGTCTGAAATGGGGGCACGGGGGGGGCTGGTGAGAGGGGCAGGAACCCCCCCAATGCCCAGTCCCCTCCCCATGGCCATAAGGGAGCAACTGCAGCATGTAATAGTGATTGTGGTGATGTGGGGCAGCACCAGGCCTCGGGTGGGGGGGTTTCTCGCCCCATATGGTGCCCCCCCGGCTGCCCTCTGTCAGCACGGCCGGGGGAGGCTTCGGCATTGAGGCAGCTCCGTCAGCGCTGAAAATAGACCCTGGCTCAGAGACAGGGTAAAAATACCCTCGATGCAAAGCAAGGTGCAGGCTGGAAGGGTGGGGAGCACGGCCTGGGGTGGCACAGCACGGTACAGCATGGCACACTATGGCATGGCACAGCACGGTACAGCATAGCACAGTATGGCCATGGCACAGCATGGCACAGTATGGCCATGGCACAGCATGGCACAGTATGGCATGGTACAGCACGGTACAGCATGGCACAGTATGGCCATGGCACAGTATGGCATGGCACAGCACGGTACAGCATAGCACAGTATGGCATGGCACAGCACGGTACAGCATGGCACACTATGGCATGGCACAGCACGGTACAGCATAGTACAGTATGGCCATGGCACAGCATGGCACAGTATGGCATGGTACAGCACGGTACAGCATGGCACAGTATGGCCATGGCACAGTATGGCATGGCACAGTATGGTACAGCATGGCACACTATGGCATGGCACAGCACGGTACAGCATGGCACAGCACGGTACAGCATGGCACAGTATGGCCATGGCACAGCATGGCACAGTATGGCATGGCACAGCACGGTACAGCATAGCACACTATGGCATGGCACAGCATGGTACAGCATGGCACAGTATGGCATGGCACAGCACGGTACAGCATAGCACACTATGGCATGGCACAGCATGGCATGGCACAGCATGGTACAGCATGGCATGGCACAGCACGGTACAGCATGGCACAGTATGGCCATGGCCCAGCACAGCATGGCCATGGCACCCACCTGGATCTCGAAGCCAAAGGTCTCTTCTGCCTTCTTCTCCAGCGTCACCACCCTCCTGGGGGACACAGGGATCAGGGCCACGGCAGAGCCCCCTGCACCCCCAGCCCCGACGCTCCTGCTCACACCTTGGGATGCTCTGGGGTTTGGGTGTTCCCTCTGCTGCAGAGGACCCCCCCTCCCCAGGATGGGAACCCCCTGGCCTGAGCCCTGCAGCTTGTTCCAAGGGTGCTGGGCCCCAAAGGGAGCTGTGACCCCATCAAATCGCCCCCATTTTCAGCCCTCCAGAGTGGGCTCACACCCCAGGACCAACGCCCCCGTCCTACCTGTGCTCCTCTGGAGACTGGCTCGGGGACCCCCACTTGAACCCCGCACCCTGCAACAGAGGGACAGCATCGGGGGGGGGACACGTTCCCCTGCCACCCCCTCTAGGGACAGCCAAAACCGGGTGTCCATCAGACAGCACTGAACCCCCGGGCAGCACCGTGCCAGCCCAGCACCGAACCAGCACCCGGCTGCACCCATAACCCCCCCACCGGTGCTGGCCGGGCATAACGAGGCTTTTATGGGTGCTCAAAGCCACCCTCACATCACCGCACCCCACGCCGCGCTCCGGGGGGGCCCGCAGGCACAGAGGGGCCCTGTTGTGGCCACAAAGTCGGGTGTTCTCATGTAAAATGTCGTGTGCCCCCCCCGCCCCGGCCCGGGACAAAGTCTCTGTTGTGGAGGGCGCGGAGGCGGAGGGACCCTCGCCGCGGGGCAGGAGGTGACAGCGCTGTCCCCAGATGCCCCTCCGCGGCCGCCCACTGCACGCAGCAGCCCCGTTATAACCGGTGTCCCCGGGAGCCGGGCCTCGGGAGGGGCACACGCGGGGCCATCGGCTCCCTCCGCTCAGTGCCACCAGCCCCGTGATGCCCCATCCCGAGCGCAAACCCATCAGCGCCGGGTGCGTTCAGCGAGCCCCGCGTCAGCCGCTGAGCGACGGGGAGGGGACGCGGGGGGCTCCGGCCCCCTCGGGGCCGGCGCCTTGGCCGGTGAGCGGGGCCGGGCCGGTGCCAGCAGGGCCGCGGGAGCCGCTTTTGCTCCGGATGTCGGCTCCGCTCCCGCTTCCCCCCGACGCTCAGGAAGCGCCGCGGGGCCGGGGGGGAGCGTCAGGGCGGTGACAGCCCCGACGCCGCTGGAAAGGGGCTTTCCCAGGGGCGCGTGTCCCGCTAGAGCCGAGCCCAGACCCCAGCAAGCCCCGTGTCCCCCCCTCCATGGGGCAGAGCCCTGTGGGACTGCAGGGACATGTCTGTGACACGGCCACGGCCACCGGGGTGCGGGCCTGCCCCCGCGCCCCCAGAGCCACAGAGCAGGACGTGAGGAGGAACCAGGGCAGGACGTGACGCTTGGGGGGGACAACACGGGAGCAGGATGGGGACACCGGGAAGATGCTGCGGGAGGACGGGGGAATGCTGGGGGGGGTCACCGGGGCAGGACGGGGACACGGGGAAGGGGCCAGGGGCCGTCGGGGAAGGACATGAGCCCAGGAGACGCCGCCGGGGCAGCCCCGCAGGGTGCAGGCAGCAGCGACCCCGCATCCCCGCTCCCACCCCGAGCCCCGTTACCGGTCTCAGCGCTGCGCTCCCCACCGGGAGCGGGCTGGGGGCAGCGGGGAGGCGCCGCCGCCCTGGCCTTAGCCCTACCTTGCGCACCCGGGGCAGGGTGCCCCCGGCGGCCGCCAGCGCTCGGTAAACGGCGGCGGGGCCGGGCAGGTCCGGGGCCGCCGCCGCCACCACCGCATCCTCCTTCGGCCGGAGCCGCCGCCGCCGCCGCAGGGTCATGGCCGGGACGCGGCTCCGAGCGCGCCGCTTTATCAGCCCCGAAGGGGCGGGGCCAGCGCAAACCTCTCCCATTTCTATGTCAAACCACGCCCATTTCAGCATCTGACCACGCCCCCAGTTGCTCTCAGCCCCGCCCCTTCAATAGGGGTCCAGGTCCTGACCATCGGGGGGACCCCCGGGGGGGACACACAGCAGTAACCGCAGCAGGGGGGCACAGGGATGATGCTGTGAGGGGGGGACACACACAGTGCAGGGGGCATCACGGCTGGCACCGTTGGGTACCATCACCTTGGGGGTGAAGCGATGCTGCCCCCCAGGGCCTGAGCCCACCCCCCAGGACAAGAATCCCCCCGTGTTGAGGACTGAATCCCGGGCAGAAGCGGGAGCAGCCGGAATGGATTCAAACCATCCCTAGGAGAGCTTTTTGCCCAGGCTTACAATGCTTACTGGGAACATAGATCCGTAAGACACAAAGACAATGATTCATTGAATCCAAACCATCACGTTCGAGTGAGCATCGGGCTGCTTGTTACCCGAGACAATAAACGGTGCAGGATTCCTCAGCTGACTTTGGATTTGCTTTTTAAGTCTAAAGCAACAGTGTGGAGGGCTGAGCAGTGTAAACCAGCAGCAATGCATTGCATAGCATGGGATCACTCTGACAAGGTGAGTGTCAGAGGTGCACAGCACACACACAGCCCAGTCTAGTCCATTTCAGTCATGGAAAGACTAGAAGCCTGGACCTTTCTGTCCATCTTCAGCTGGGGAAGGGGCTGGAAAAGACAAGACAGGGTCAATTAAGAGAAAGTAGCACTTAACCATTCCTGGTACAAAGCCATTCTTAGTTATTCAAAGGTCCGAATGAGGTAGTCTACGTGCTTCAGCACTGGAACCACAGGAGGATGAAGCCCACGATTTCACACCCTGAGATGCTGCGGGAGTTACTGAAGGAATTTGCAAAGTGATTCCTCTGTGAACGCCAGCCGCGCCTCCCGTGGCTGCAGTACCGAGCTTTGTCCACAGGATGGCAGCAGTGAAAGGCGCTCACCGCCACACCGAGCCCTCCCACCTGCAGTACCGAGCTTTGTCCACAGGATGGCAGCAGTAAAGGCGCTTAGCGCCACGCAGCGCCTCTCCATCAGGCACCACCTGCAGTACCGAGCTTTGTCCACGGGACGGCAGCACCTGCTCGCTTACTGGGTACCAGGGAGGCAGCGGGGTGAGGGTTAGGGTTAGGGTTAGGGTTAGGAGGTTGATGACCTCCTGCTTCCCATTCCCTGCAGAGGGAGCCCGGCCTCAGCTGCTCATCCCTGCCGGGTTTGAATCCCACCCTGCCTCATCCTCCCCTCTGCAGCCCCACCTTTAGGATCTGGGCAGCAGGATTCCCAGGAGGCAGCAGGATTCCCAGGCCCCCCCTCCCCGGAGATCATGGAGCAAAGCAAGGAGAGACTCCACCACCTGACGTGAATAAAACAACCTTTTAATCATGTACAGCAGAAATCGACAGCCTCGGTTTATATTAAACAAAAAGATTTCCTATCTTACACCGTATTTACACTTGCATACTGGAGGTAAAGTGTCTAAGTGGCTATTTTACAGTCCATTGCTAATAAAACATACAAAACCCAAACCAAAAAGGGGCAGGGAAGTACCAAGAGATGGGTTCTGAAGCCAGCATACCCCTGCTCACCCGTACCTCTGCCCTGTGGTACCCGACATCTCCCCCTCCTCATCCCCTGTCCTGAACTGCCTGGAGCTGGCGCATCCCAGAGCCGGGCAGTGATTCCTATGCTTGGTCCCAGTCAGCTCCGTCAGCACCGCACCTCCCTGGCACGTGGTTGCATGGAAAGTGCTGTTTAAATGCTACATAATCAGCGTTCCCTCCTCGGGGAGCCTCTCCCGATGGCATCTCTCCACACACCAAGCTCCTCCTGCTCACAGGGGACCCCTTGGGGCTCCTCTGGCTGCTGTTTGGTTTAGCGCTGAGGCAGATGCATGTGTGGCTACAGTTGGATGGGGCGAGTGCGTCAGTGCCAGTCCCGGAGCTGAGCTGGTCCTTGGGCAGCAGCCGGCAGAGGGAGCAGGGACGGGGCACTCGGGCACAGAGCCCACAGGGCAGCAGGGGCCTGATGGAGCTGCTGGCGCCGTGGGCTTTCCTATGGCAGTTCACAGTCACTACGACCTCCTCATCCTCCTCTTCCTCCGCAGGGCCCTGGTGCAGCAGCTGGAGTGTCTCTGGGGGCTCTGTGAAGCGGCACCACCTCGGTTTCTACATGGGGCTGGTTAAGGGAGACCCAGTTCTGAGACAGAACCCCAGGGGAGGGAGCTGCAAGTTCACAACAGGGAGCCTCCAACTGCTCCAAACCTCACCAGGGACCCCTCCTGCTGCTCCAAGGCCTCCTGAGCACCAACCCCCAACCCCCCCGGGAGGATGCACAACGGCTCCAAACACGATGTAAAACCCCCAAACTCCTCACTTGACACCAAGTCACAGACGAGACGGGGAGCCCGGGGACGACGCACACATGGGCACACACAGGCAGCAAGAAGAGAGTAAACCAAAGGGAGTGAACCAGGGGTGCAGCAGAGATGAAGCCTCAGCACAGAGCAGGAGCAAGGGCTGAGCAGAAGCAGTTCCAGTGTAAATCGAGCTGTGTGCATTTGGTTTCTTCTCTTTTTTTCTGGGTATTTTTTTGCAGTGATTTCTTTACAAACAAGAGGTAACAAGGAGGGATTTGGGGGTTTCTTCTCGTAGAAAGAAGTAGCAATAGTTCAAAAAAGTTAAAATCCAGACCCTCCCAGAAAATCATCATCATCATCATCATAAAAAATAAGAATCAAACCCACTCCAGTTAAAAGTTATGGCTTCAGAGTTATGCACTGCAGAGACTGACCTAACACCAACAGCCCAGCACTGCCCAGGCTAGCCCTCAGCACAACACCTCCCCTTCCTGCCAGGTCCTGCTGCAGCCAACAGTCACCCATCCCTAACCTGACCCTGATTCAGCATTTCATCAAAGGAAAAGTCATGCAGATCCCCCCACCCCATGTTATACACAGCCACTTCCAGGTTATGAGTTATTTATATATGGATAGTAAAACGATGGACATTGGTTTCCAGCCCCACAGCCCGGTGTCGGCTCCTGAGTGGGTCACAGGAGGAGCAGAGCACCCCTGGCCCCTGTGTCTGGATTGGGCACTCAGTCTCCTGCACTGACCCTTCCCCATCCCCAGTGTGGCTCCGTGGCACCTCTTTCCCTCGCCCAGGTCTCTCTTTCCACCCTGGATCACAAACCCCGGGGCTGAAGACCTAAACCCCCCCTGGGTTCCGGGAGCAAAGTGTTCCTCGTGTGGTTTGTCTTAGCAATGGGAGGGGTGGCAGTGAGAGAACCCGCAGCAGGGGCAGCAGGGCCCCGGCACCCAGCGGGGCTGGCTCGAAGCAGCCTGTCCAAGGCAGACAATGCTCACGACTCAACAAGGAGAGCACCAGCGCGCACAGCTCAAGGAAAGGACACTCGAGAGAGAGTTGCACATGCACAGGAAGCACGGACAGGGATGAGCCACCCTGCGGGCAGACACTGCACGTCTACAGGAGGAGCTGAGCAGCAGAGGGGACGCGCTGTGCATGCAGACGCGTCGCTCTTCTCGCCTTGCTTTGTCAAGCTGAAGACAAAGGAGGGACAGGAGTTTCACGAAGCTGATAACTGTTCAGGCTCAGCCTCTCAGAGGGGAGCACCATTGAGTTTTGCTTTTGCTGCATTAAACGTGCCAGTCCCTGGAAAAAGTCCTCCGAGCACGGCCAAGGAAACCTTTCCTTTCTCTTCCCACTCCCAGCACCCGGCCTCGATCCCGGCCCACGGGTGAACTTTACGGGGATTTCCATTAAAGAAACAGGAGTTCTGATCATGGCTGAGATCCCTCAAGTTAAATCCCTCTCTAGGAAGTCTTCACGCTCTCAGGAGGTGATCATAAAAGGTTTCGGATTGTTTCATACCCAAGCAGGGAAAAGAGCATTGCCATAGGCTCCGTCACCCCACCTAGCAGCCTGGAGTCACGCTGTCTCGTTGGTAGCAGTAGATTGGGCAGAAACACGAGGTAGGCCTCCATCACACGTCTACTCTAGCATGGCAGCTTTGTGCAGTTTCCTCCTGCTGGGGCTCAGGGCCTAGATCTTCACATCTTCCTGGACGCTGAGCTGGGAGAGGGTCTTCTTGATGCGGAGGGCGGTGAGCCGCGCCGCTCCGTTGGCGTACCAGCACTCCCGCATCATCTTGCCCATCACCCGGAGTGCCTAAGCAAGAAACAAGGGCAGATGGCAGCGGTTCTCCTCTCCCCCTACCCCAAATAACTGCCAGGCTGCTGCTGCAAGGCTGGACATTGGCAGAGCCTCCTAAAACTGGAGCTTCACTTATGGAGGGGAAGGGGACGTGAAGATGGAAGCAGCCCTTACCTCGTAGCTTTGCCACCAGTTTGGGATATTGGGCCGTAACTTCTGATCACACACAACCTTCCGCATCTCCTCGATAGAGGGATCAGAGGGCACGAGGTCGTAGTAGGGAAGCTGATACTCTTCGTGGATACCTGAAGGGCAGAGAAGGGGAAATGCAATTCCTGGGCTCATCGGCTCAGCCTCACTGGAAGCAGACCAGCACTGGGTTGGACATGACTCATTGCTGGGATGCGTCAATGCTTTGCAGTTATTTCCAAGAGAAATGAAGAGTCTGGGATTTGAGTTTACAAGAAAAATGCAGGGAAATAAAACACAGCTGCCCCAAAGTGGAGGAGTCAGAGCGCTGTGATCACCACCTCCAGCACCGGGGCAGCAGCTCCATCACACACAGCACAGTGTGTCCTGCCTGCCTGGCCATGCCAACACATTCAGTTACACTGGTTCAGGGGAAGAAAGTCACCTCCCAGACGGGCATCACCACTTCTTCATCCATCCAAAGGATAAGCAGCAACCAGTTGAGAGCATTAACCCTCACAGGCCTCTCCTAACAGCACTCTTGGGGCACTTAACTCCCTCAATGGTGAC